GGCAGACGCCGCACCGACCGACTCAAAACCAACTAGGTCGGCCGTAGCAGCAGAGGCGACAGAGGGCAGGAGGGGGGAGGGGGAACACCCCTCAAAGATGGGGGTGCGCGGGTCACCATGAGAGGCCCCTACAGCGAGAATGCTCTTCTCAGCTGCTAGGAGGGACTTCTCGAGGAGGTCAACAGTGAGAGTGGTGGGGCAGACTGAGAGTAAGTCGTCCCTGACTCCGCGAAGGGAGTCAGGGAGGCGGGCGACAATGTAGTAGAGAGTGAAGTACTGGGGGGGGGGGTTCTTGGCGCAGAACTCAGCAGGAAGCGCAGCGCGGAAGCGAGCGTCACGAGTGCGCATGTGGGTAATGAGGTCGGCGACTGTGGCAAAAGAAGCAAGGTCGGGAAAGAGGTACGGTAGCATGAGGCGGCTCAGTGCAGCAGTGGCAGGGGTGGAGTAGCGTGCAATAACGGCGTCGTACAAGGTCTGAGCACTCTTGTACGACCCAAAGTGTGCACGCTCAGAGGGAGGGAGGTGGTGACGCACAGCAAGACGTGCAGCAGCATCGCGTGTGGCCCACTGTGAGCGAACAGTGGCATCCTCAGTAGCAGCAGGGGCGGGAGAGGCACCAGAAGTGAGATCAAAGAGAGAGAGGCCGTCAGCTCTGTCGCACTGTAGGAAAAGCAGCAGGTCGTCTACCCACACGTCAAAGTCGATGGCTCTGCCCTCAGCGTCGAAGGTGAGGACACTGGGGGTAGCCATGACAGCAGTAGGGTGAGGGCAGTGCGCGGAGTAAAGCTCAGTGCTCACCAGACAGGGCAGTGCAGACGGCTCGGGCGGCTCGGATGGCTCGGGCGGCTCGGGCGGCTCGGGCGGCTCGGGCGGCTCGGGCGGCTCGGCGGCACGGGCGGCTCGGCGGCTCGGGCGGCTCGGGCGGCTCGGCTGCTGGGGCGGCTCGGCTGCTGGGGCGGCTCGGTTGCTGGGGCGGCTCGGCTGCTGGGGCGGCTCGGCTGCTGGGGCGGCGCAGTTGCTGGGGCGGCGAGGCCGGGAGATGCAGCTGCGGGGCCGTTAGGGGTAGTGGCGGGGCCGGTAGGTGAAGCGGCGGGGCCGTCAGGTACAGCAGCCGGGTCGGCAGGTGAGACGGCGGGGCCTGCAGATGAGGCGGCGGGGCCGGCAGGTGCAGCAGCGGGGCCGTCAGGGGTAGCGGCGGGGCCGGTAGGTGCAGTGGCGGGGCCGTCAGAGGGGACGGCGGGGCCGTTAGGTGCAGCGGCGGGGCCGTCAGAGGGGACGGCGGGGCCGTCAGGTGCAGCGGCGGGGCCGTCTAAAGTAGCGGCGGGGCCGGCAGAGGGGACAGCGGGGCCGTCGGGTGCAGCGGCGGGGCCGGCAGAGGGGACGGCGGGGCCGTCAAGTGCAGCGGCGGGGCCGGCAGAGGGGACGGCGGGGCCGTCAAGTGCAGTGGAGGGGCCGGTAGAGGGGACGACGGGGCCGTCGCAGGCGATCGCGGGGCCGTCAAAGACGGCGCCGGCGTCGCGAGGGTCAGAGGGGGCGGCGCGCCGAGGCCACGTAGGTGGCGCGCCAAAAAAAAATCGCGGGCGGCTCGACGCGATCGGGCCGCTAAAGGAAAAAAAATGGCCCAGCGCGACTCGGGCTAGGGCAGAGCGCGCTCCGGGCAGGACGGAATAGTAGGTGGGCCCTAGGAACAGTTCCCACTAGGGAACCTGCTCGATACCATGTTGAGATAGAGGCGAGGAAAATGGGTGCACTATGAAATGAAACAAGTACAAGTACCAACCCTAATTGGGTTGTACCCCCTATGGGCTACCCCATTACAGCCTAAATATATGCATCAGTAATATAATCATCTGACAGTAACCAACTTTAACAATTTTGTTACGCGAGTGGTTACAACTGAACTTGTCAATTCTCGCCTGTGCGAGGGCCTTCTTTTCGTTTCCGAAAGTAACAAACTAGATTACTCGCCCCAACTGACATGCAATGCGCAACTTACACATTTCAATCGCCTCGCAGGTTGGTTTCGGCAGTGCGCAGGTTGACTGCAGGGTGGTTCTGTTGCCCCACAATTACCCCCCAGTATTGAAAGCAGATTGACAGGACTCCCGAAAACGGGAGTCACCAGGAAGGCTTCCAGCTAATTGCTGTAAGCCACATTTCTTCGTGCGATGCAACCGCCTTCCTTCCTCGGAGGTGGTTTCCGCGTTTGATCAAGCTTTTTCTCCTCTTCTTCTTCTCCGCTGGACGCTGTAAAGACTTTCACGGCTCGTCCGTGCTGAGAATGTCCGTGCTTCCTCTCGCCTTCCTGCGAGTCCTATCCATTCGCTGCTTCCCGTTAACGCTTTGGATCTGAAGCTCCGAACTTCCAAGTGATTTCTGGTCGAGAGGGTCCATAAATAAAAGTTTGTAACCACGCGCACCATCATGACATGTTTCTGGGCTGATCTGAAATGCATTGCGGAATCAATGGTGGGATCTGATCCATTACCATCCTTGGGCCTCCTGCTCTTGAGCCTCATTCGTTTGGAAGAAGTTCTTCCAAACCGCTCGTGCTCGCTCACTTCACCCAACCATACGCCGCTCACTGAATCTAAGGCGGTCTTATATTCCGCCAACCATGCCGCACACTGCTTGTCGTCAGATTCGCATGGAGCATGGCGACAGACTGGCGACATGCTCACTCCCACCCTCCCATGCTCACTCCCATGCACTTACGATTAACAAGACCCCCAACCTAAACATTCCATTCTACCCCTTCTTCTTCTCCCCTTTCCCTGTTCTACCTCTTCCCCCTTTTCCCCCTCCCCCCTAGCAACAGCTACTCTCCCCGTTGCGCGCTTCAGCGTCCCCTCCCAGGCCGTTTCTGGATTTCACGTTCTCGGAGGCGCAGTGTGGCACCTGGGCGGCTGACTATTCCACCCTGCACTCCCGCATTCGCGAAGCTGCACGCGCCCACGCCAGCACCCTCGCTCAGACTGCTGCTGCTGCTGCTGTAGCTGCTGCTGCTGCTGCTGTAGCTGCTGCTGCCGCTGCTGCTGCCGCACTACCACTGCCGTGCAAAAAATAGAAGGGGCACACGTCCTCACACGGAATAATGACGGGCTGCGTTATAGCATAGCGATGAGCTACAGTGGCCGCCTAGATACAGTGCAGGCGTGCAGGAGAGTCACAGACCGAGTGGCAGCTGGTGAGCTCCAACCCAATCAGATTTCTGAAGCCATCTTAGAACAAGAGCTTTCAACGAGTTGGCTCGGACCAGACCTGGCTAACCCGGACCTGCTGATTCGAACGAGTGGGGAGCTACGGCTGAGCAACTTTCTCATGTGGCAGTCGGCTTACACGGAGCTGCACTTGTGTGACACTCTCTGGCCCGACTTTGGTGCGCTTCAATTGCATGCGGCACTCGTGGACTACCAGCGACGAGATCGACTCTTTGGCGAGCGCAAAGACTAGTAACTAGATGGAGTGATGGTGTTATGAATGAACTTGCAGAGTGCGCAGTAAAACGAATACAATGAAAGTGACGAGGCCTGAATAGGGGAAGTCCTAGCTTGGCGGGGAGGTTGGGCGAGGATGGCTCGGTGATGGTTGCGATTGGTGCGGAGGCGACTCGGGAGTGGTTCGGTGCGACGAAATAGGAACGACAGGTTCGTCGCGTGACCCTCGGGATGGCCTCGAAAACGAGTGCCTCGGTAAGGATTTTGTGAATCCTTACAGATGGAGATTTGGGGAGATAAGCATGAGATATATCGTGGTTTAGCCATGACAAATCTGGTGCATATGGAGAGAAAGTCACAGTTGTGCGATTCCATGGTTTTTTACTATCAGCAATTGCATGTTAGGTTTTCATTAAATCAAAACAAGTCCCATCCACACCCCATGGATCCGTTGCTCAAAACTAGGATATTTGAACAACCTCAATCCCAAACAGATCACCCTTGAATATCAGAAATGGGAATGAGAAGTAGTGTTTCGGTCACCAGTTTAGCAGTTCTGTAGATAGACATCTGATTAAGCATTCCGGGTTTTGTGTTCCGAGTAATGTACCCTAGATTCTGGTTCGGGGTCATATAAGCGCGACGGGTCCTTTGTTACGGAGGTGCTGTATTTCTGTTGGTTTGAGCGAGGAGGTGGCTTGGGGTACATTAGGTTTTGCAGCCCTAACGTCTGGGTAGTTGCTTTGAATTGAATGCTGATGTCTACATTGTTCGACAGCCTGATGGCCACAACTGTGTGAAGCATTCAAACAAGGCAGCAGCTTGTTATTTTATGGGTGTTGACTTATTACACAAGATGCTCAGCCCCTGCGCGCGAAATTGCCCTGCCCAAAAAAGAAAGTCTGCTCCCGTGTTTTTTTCCCCGGGCAGTTGCACCTTGTTTATAAGCGCATGGGCCACTTGTATGTGGGTGGCCAGAAGACAAAAATTACACATGTGCTTAATGACAAGAGACGTCGCCCCTGGGTATTCCTGTTTTGAGGCCAGAGACAGACTTCGCGAAAAATGTGGCGGAGTGAGTTTTGACGTCGCGCACAATTTCGCCCATGACTGTACGCCACGTCGATGCGGCTCATCGTGCACCTGCTCGTACCCAATTCGCCCTAGCACCGCCACGTGTACATTGCCGAGGTTGGATAGAAGCCCAACAGTCTCCACAAAGTGCAATTATGCACACGTCACCCGCTGTGGTTACTGATACATGTGCGAGTAACAAACACGATTCCAGTAATATTCACTCCGCTAAAAAGTGTTACATGCCCAAATGTGGCAACGTTCACTCGACTGAATGTTGCCCCATCCCCCTACGACGCCGCGAAGAAACACACTCGACGTAGAGTTAGCCGAGCACTGGCACTTGGGCATAAATTGGCACGCAAATTAGGCCAGCACACAGACTTACTCACCAGTTTAGCCACCAACATGCCTCGCCTGTTTTGCCGCTCTCAGGATCCCGTGCACATTAAGAGGGCAATCCGTGCCCATCATGTCAGTAACCCCCGCATGCGCCAGGTCGACCTGGCGCTCTGGTGCTTTACCCGTTTCGGCGTCCGCCCTGATCGTTCGACCATTGGTCGCGTGCTCAAAGGAACCGACCGTTGGAGCGCCGTCTCCAACGACGACAACCCCGTCCGCGTGCGTGGCGGCGCATATCCGCAGCTTGAGCAGGCTATGGTGCGCTGGATTCGCAACGCCGGGCCCGCGGGTGTACCGCTCACCTTGATTACTATCCGCGACCACGTTGCGACCATGGCACGCGGAATGGACCTACCTCCTACCTTCCGCTGCTCCGTGGGGTGGGTTCGCCGTGCCTTGCGCCGCAACGGCATTCGGTGCCGCAGCACAGTTGGGGAGGCCGCCGACCAGGACCACGCCGCGGTCCGTACCTGCCAGGAGCAGCTCCCGCAGCTCCTGATGTATCTCTCCCTCCGTCCGCGCGACGTCTACAATTTCGACGAGATGGCTCTGTTTCTTTCGGTCTTGCCGCGCAAGACGTACGGCGGGTCGCGCGTGCCGGGGCGTAAGCTGGCGAAGGAGCGCCTCACGGTCGGGTTGCTCGTTAACGCGGACGGCAATCACGCGTTCCGGCCTTTGATCATCTCCAAGTCCAAGCGCCCTCGCGACTTTCTGCCCGACTACGACCCGGAGGAATTGTGCTACTGGCGTCACAACAAGAAGGGCTGGATGAATGCGGCGGTAAGCAAACAAGGATACGATCACCTACTGGACTGGTTGATGCGTTTGTTCTATGCTTGCGGTGAGCTCGTCCCTTGTGAACCATGTTACAACTTGTCATCGATGCTCACAACTGTTTTCCGGTGTCTTTCCCATCATGCGTAGTTGTTCACTCACTTCATCGGCCAACTCAACGCCGCCATGGTCGCCGAGGACCGCCAGATCGCCATCCTCTTGGACAACGCAAGCAGCCACGTGCTGAAGGACGACGATGCCACGTCGGAAGACCTTTTTGGCTTCCGCACTCGCATCGTGGGCAACATCCGGCTTGTCTTCCTGCCGCCCAACACTACCACCTTCACGCAGCCGCTCGATCAGGGTCTGATTGCCACGACGAAGGCACGCTACCGTCAGCACTGGCTTCGCGCGGTCACGGCCCTGTAGCAGGATGATGGCGCCTTTCCCGTGATGGCACGTTACCGCCCCAACATGCGCGATGTCATCGCATGGCTCTCGGAGTCATGGATGAACATCCCCGTGCATACCATTCAGAGGTGCTGGTGGCGCACGGGGTGCATGCCACGCTCGTGGGCCATGGACCTGACGCATGTTGGCCTGGACGGTCTCGCCACGGTCGGCAACGGCGTCAATGCCGCTCTCCCCATTGACCTCGACGAGGACATCGGGGATGTCGGCATCATGATCGCCCGTCTTGGCCTCGGGTCTAGCGCCATGCCGGCCGCCGCCTTCGTCGCCATCGACGACGACCACCCCACGTGCGCCGAGCCGGGCGAGGACCCGCTCGCCCTTGAGCCGCCGACGGGGTATTCGGGCGCGTCATGGGAGGCTCCATCCAACATGCAGGCCGTCTACGACGACGACAACCCAGAGAGCCGCGAGGCGCGGCGTTACGCACGTGCGGCGAGCGAGATGCTCATCGGTTACGCACGTGCCACCGGCATCACGCCGCGCAACCTTTGCGCGCTGTTCGAGATTAAGAACCCGGTCATCGTCGACCGCATGGAGCGGGCTAGCCCCCCAATGAACCTGAACACTGCGCCGATGCCGGATCCCCTGCATGCCGCGTCCCCCGCGTCCACTTCCACGCAGGCTCCTGCCACGACCGAAGACGCGGCCACCCCTCGCCGCCGCGGGCGCGTTCTGCCTACGTGGATGTATGCACCTGCTCCCACCCGCCAGCAGCTTATTGAATTTGGCGTGAGTGCCGTCATGAACGGCTATGCGGATGCGGCTGAGTGGATGACCCTGTGAAGGGTGAACCGATTTTTCGCTTCGAGGAGTTGGAATCTCCTCTGTGCACATTTGTGCACATCTTGTGCACAAATGTGAACTGTGTCTAGCCCCGTTACACACTGCATTTGCGCATATGTGAGTCTGGTATTGGCCGAACTGTGGTGGTTGCATGTTTGTGTGTAATTTTGTAATCGGGAGCTACGAAAATGGGAAAATGTGGTGGTAACGCTGGTAACACACAACAAACAACCACAGCCACCCAGCAATGACTTTCTTTAACTTACCCGAGAAGTTACACGTTCTAGTTAAACGCCCACCATGCCCGTGGCGACATGCACGAAATCACGCGAATTGTCAGAAACCCTTACAAACCCTCTTGGTAAGGCAAGTATGGGGGACTCAAACGCGCAACAGGTGTAATACTGGATTCGCTACCCCTAGCACCCATGACCTAGCCGTGCCGTGGATCCTTCCTGAGCTGTCCAGAAGCACGTGTGAATCTGGCTGTCCAGTTGCTGTCTTTCCACATGCGTCAAATCCCTCTTATTCGCCAAGACCCCTGCCCTGTCACGCAATCAACCAGTGAGGAGAAGTGGACCTGATTTCCCGTCCATTTTCCACGTCGAGGCCTGCATACGTGGGGCCAGAAATATGGAAATCATTGGTTTCGAGGAGATAAGCTGCCACCGGCGCGTGTGAAGATATTTGTTCCAACAAGAAGGGTGACGGGATTCCGATCTATTGTATCCAGCAAAGCAGGGTCAACGGCGTCACTTGCTGTGCCAGGCAGGATCTCCCAACGCGTCGCGGCAATGAAACAGGTTCGGTGGAGTCTGATCCGTCCGTCCCTCTGTTTGATCAACAACCCCCTTGAAGCCGACGGTCCGGGCTTTCGCTAAACAGTAGCACTTGGGTTTTCTCCTGCTCCTTCATGTCACACTGCGCCCACCAGACCAGACGAGTGAAGGTCATGTCATACGGCTCGGTTGTGTTCGCTGTCCACCGAGGCTGCGTTCTGCCCCCAAGGAGACGGTTAGCCCTCACACCGAGCCAGCGGAGCGCAGCGCAACACCACCATTTCTGCTGCTGGACTTCCCCATCATATTGCCACACATCAGACCGACGAGCTCAGTCACTTTCTGATTCGCAGTTGGTTATTCCTTCCAGGTTGCCTTGTGGGATCTCTCGCCATCAGCGTTGACTCTTGTTGTCACATCTTCGCAAGCAAAACTCATTCGCTATTCTCCATCGCATCATCTGCATCCCTTACCTTCATCCTCCCTTTGGTTTTGGAATCGTGCGCGACCGTCGCGATGGCTGCAATAATAGAGGCGTCGCTTGCCGCAACAACCCTGTCCGCCATCGCCCGCCCGCCACTCTCGTCCGGCTTCATCCACGCGGAACGTACGGCGTCGCTGCCGTCCCTCACCACCGCGCTCCGCGCTAGCCGATTCAGCAAACGCACCCATGGCATCGCCGTGCGTCCCGCTGCTTCCTCCACTTCCTCCTCCTCCTCCTCCTCGTCCCACCCTCAAAAGGCATACTCGTACGCTTACTCCGAAGCCCCAACGGCCTCCTCTTCCCTGGGCTCGTCGCTGTACGAGGAATCCACTTCGGACTTGTCGGACGAAGACTCGTCCGAAGAGGGCTCGCGCAAGGACTTGATGCACGAGGCGGTGCGGCGCCTCGCGGACACGGACGTGGCGGAAGCCGCCGCGAAGTACGGGCTGGAGGACGAGCTGTTCGGAGAGATCGACTTCGCAAGGGTGAGTTGCCGGGTTACCGCGTTGATACCTTGCGAGATGCATGCACATGCCTTCTTTCTCTCTTCAGTTTCTCTCTTTTGAAACACAAGTTCCTGGAAAGGGCCGTGCACCGAAAGGCGGTAAGTAGAACCCGAAACGATAACGTGAGCAGACGGACATGCCGGAGAAGACTCAGAAGACAACGAAAATCATCAGTTCATGCGGAGCGTGTTTTGCGATCGACTCAATACATGCCTACCTCCTTGCGGACCGTGATTTCTTCAGTTCCAATCATCTCCCCCTTGAGTTTTCCTCCTCCGTCCTCCTGCTCTCCCTCTCAACAGATCAGCTCCTTCACCAAGGATCCGTTCGGCGGCAATCCCGCGGCGGTGTGCTATCTGCCGTACCACCCGTCCGACGAGTGGCTTCAGAAGGTCGCGGCGGAGTTCAACCTCTCCGAAACCGCCTTCCTCGTGCGCCGCCGCGCCAGCTCCCCGCCGCCCCCGCCCGGGCTGGACGACGAGTGGCCCGGGTCCGCGCGGCAGTCGCTCGTAGCTGCGGACGAGAAGGGCGCGCTGCGGTCTGTTAAGGTGGCGCCGCCCGTGAACGAGTTCGACTTGCGCTGGTTCACCCCCACGGTCGAGGTGATTCCGAGTCGACACCAATGGGAAGAGCCGGGAGGAATGGAAGGGAAAGCAAGGGAGGGGATCTTATGTTCCACCACGTTACGCGGTCAGCTAGCGCCTTACGTCGTGCGTGGTGCCACGTGTTCTCCAAGTTTTCAACGGTCACCCCTATTCTTGCGTGCCTACTTCTGATCCCCCTCTCCTCTCTCCCCCCCCGGCTCGCAGGTTCGTCTGTGCGGGCACGCGACGCTAGCGGCGGCGCATCTGCTCTTCTCGTCGGGCCTCGTCGACTCCGATGAGGTCGTCTTCCACACGCGCTCCGGCCGCCTCGCCGCGCGCCTCGTCCCCGAGCACGAGGCGCATCTCGGCGGGCGGGACCGGAAGCCGCACTCGAACCGCCGGCACAAGCGGCACGAGTGGGAGGAGGAGGAGGGCGAGCGGCTCGGCGTGGGCGGGCGGCGGCGGCCGAGCGGAAAGGCGATCGTGGAGCTAGACATGCCGCTGGCGGCGGCGGCGGCGCTTCCGCTGGACGAGTGGGCGGCGGTGGAGGAGGCGATCGGCGTGCCGGCGGGGACGGCGCTGTTCGTGGGGCGCAGCAAGCTGCATGATATCATGGTGAGTCGCTCGGCGCGCGACTGCGGGGACGGACTGCGGGGAGGGCGTGGGATCGAGGTTGTGTTGTTGCTAGCACTTCGATGAAACAACAATGAAGAGCATAACGATATGCTTCAACTATTATTAACCTTCCCGCTTCCCTTGCCCCTCCCTACCCCCACCTCCTCCCGCTCCTCTCCCCGTCGTACAGGTGCACGTGCCCCAGACGACGACGGTACTGGAGCTGGATCCGCCTCTCAAGAAGATCGCCGTGCTGCCGTGCCGCGGCGTGATCGTGACGGCGGCCGCCAGCCACGTGGACGCGGACATCAAGGCGGCGGGCGGTAGGGCGGCGGCGCTGGACCCCAACATCGACTTCGTGTCGCGCTACTTCGCCCCGCAGTCTGGCATTGACGAGGTGCGCACGCCGCCGAGGCGGAACGTGGGGGAAAGGCGTGAGTGCGGGGCGCGGGGAGGGGCGTGAACGGGGGGTGGGGGGTGGGGAAGTGGGGTTGCGGGTGTGAGGGGCTTGCGCTCTGAGCGTTGGGGGTGCCTATCAGTGGGGGTGCCTATCAGTGGGGGTGCCTATCAGTGGGGGTGCCTATCAGTGGGGGTGCCTATCAGTGGGGGTGCCTATCAGTGGGGGTGCCTATTAGTGGGGGTGCCTATCAGTTGCTTCTCTCGCTGCTTTCTGCAAGCCACTCCTTTCATCATAACTGCTCTCTCACACAAACACCCACGCCACAAACGACTGACCTGCCATGTTATTCCCCATGCCCCCTTCCCCCGTTGCCGTGCGCCATCAGGACCCGGTGACGGGCAGCTCATTCTGCACGCTTGGCCCGTACTGGTCGGAGGTGCTCGGGCACAAGCAGCTGCTGGGCTACCAGGTGCGCTGCGCGCCACACGGCTTGGTCCTGTGCTTGTGCGGTTGTGCTGCGTCCTCCCCGCATGTGCTTGCTATTGGATATCTCTTTTTGTGTTTTCTCTCTCCTGTTCGCATGTCCCGTTTTGTCCCTCGCCGCGTCATTGTTGGTCTTCCCTCTCTCTCTTCCTCGTGGCAGGCGTCTACCAGGGGAGGCATGGTGGCAGTGCGGGTGGACGAGGCGCACGGGAGGGCGTTCCTGCAGGGGTGGGCGGTGCTGGTGATGGCGGGTGTGGTCATGAACACCGCCTCCCCCGCCATCACGCACCCCGCCACCTCGTAAACCCCGCAGGCGCCATCAGCGCTCGCTTGGGCACTGCCACGTCAGCGGGCTCGCTGGCGACCTTGGATGCATGCGTGCTTTGCAGTGTCCTGCCTTTCAGGAATACCGTATACTGTCTTTATGCAGGGCTGAGTAAGTAGGTGTGTTTTGAATTACCTAGTTGGTACGTGTCTGATTATTGGGTTGGGTCGGGTTGGGTGGGTGGGAAGGGTAGGTTGGTGACCAGAATATATGGGCAGTTGATGTGTGAGGCCTGTCAGGTCAAACTACTGTCGTGCTAGGTCTATTACTGGCCTCTGCCTTGTTACATGCATCATTGTGAATGCGTTGTGTGATAATTAATGATATTGGTTTTACTTAACTTGGGAGTTTGCCAGTGTACAGCAGAGAAAGTGCCACCAAGAATGCTGGTGGGGTATGGTACGGTATCATTATCGCCTGGAGATTGCAGTTGTGGGGAAAGGATGAATGGGCACCACACAAGTGGTCTGTCAAGTTTTCATCCAGTCCTGGGGTTTTGGTCATGAAGTATGTCAACTTCTAGGAGGCTTAATACCGTATCACTAGAAAGCAAGTGTGACCAGTTCATAACTCTCGGTGGTTCGATGAAGTATTCTGAATTAGATGAACATGGCACCAAAGAAGAGTGCCAGGGAGGGAAAATGTACGACTGCGTTTTTTTAACCAAACAGCAGGGCCATAGACTTACTTAGCGATCAACAAACACCAGCGACACAAACAGCACATGCTCTACGGCGTACACGAGCACGGCTATTCCTCCTCATCGTCCCCAAACGTGAAGAGCGAGGCATCGGCAGCGCTGGCGGCAGCAAGGGCAAAGTCGGAGGAAGGGCCAAAGAGGAACTCCTCGCCCTTGGGCATCTCTGTCACCGGAGGAGAAGCTTCAAACGACGGCAGCGCATCGATCGAGTCGTTCCCCACCACACGCATCGCTCCCACTGCTGCTCCTGTTGCTGCTGCTGCTGCTGCTGCTGCTGCTGCTGCTGCTGCTGCTGCTGCTGGTGTCGACCCCTTGGTTGGAGGCGTTGCCGCTGGTGGTACGGAGGAGGCTAATAGCGGGGACGGGGAGGAGGATGTGGCAAGGGTGCTTCTCGGAGGGGTGGATGTGGGGTTGGATGGGTCGGTTGACGATGGTGCCAGAGGGGGTTTTGCTGCTGACGCTGATGATGCGGATGCTGAAGAGTTCTCCTCTAGGTAGCCTGGCAGGGGGAAGGGAAAGGGAGAGGCAGATTGTGTTGACGCAAGAAGGATGACACTGGAAGACGGGAGGTGAGATGGGGAAACGAGGGAAGACAGGAAGTGCGAGGGGAAAGGAGGGAAGATATGCGAAGTAGACAAGAGCTGGTACGGCGGCTTACTGAAAGCATCTTTGAAGGAGCTCCTGGGAGCGATGCTGCCAGGGGATGCTGCTGAGAAGGCTGGCACTTGCCGCCTCTTGCTGCTTCCGTGACCCCCACCCTCCTCGTCCTCCTCTTCCTGCTCCCTGTCACCAGAATCACCACCACCATCGTCGTCGTCGTCGTCCTTCATAAAGTCTAGTTTCATGGTGATAGACAAAGGCTCACTGCCGCTGGTGCTGGTGCTGCTGCCGCTGCTCCGCATTGTATCCACACCCCCCTGCCCTGCGCTGCTCTTCACAACTCCACTTCCACCTACCCTTGCCTCGCCTGCCCCTGCCGCTATCCCTCTCGCCTCCCCACCATGAACACGAGCACTACTACCACTACCACTACTACCACCAGTACCACCACCGGCAGCAGCAGCGGCGGCGGCGGCGGTGGCAGCAGCAGCGTGGCGAGCGTCTGCCTTTCTACTAGCCTCAGAGAGCGCGCCAGTGACCTCCTTGACGGACCAGCTCACAGCACTGGCTAGCATGCCTAGCGCTTCCACTGCCGCCACTGCCATCACCTCTGCCGCCTCCTCTGCCCCGCTCGCCGCCCCGCCACCACCTGCACTCACACCCGTCCCCACTCCCTTTCCCGTTCCTGTTCCCATCCGTGTATCTGTCTCCGTACCTGTTCCCGTCCCTGCTACCGTTCCTGTTCCCGAGCCTGTTCCTGCAGCTGCTCTTCCAGTTGTTCCAACCCCTGGGCGGGCAACCATAGGACCAGTGGATCCAGTGTCAGCACCAGCTGCCGCAGTGCTATGCTCAGTCACACCTGGCGCATCCCTGCACTTCACCTCCATTCCATCTCCCTGCGAAGCTTCTCTGCTGCCTCCTCCACCTGCCTCTCTCTCTCCGCCTGTGCCTCCCATGTTTCCACCAGCTGATATCTCGCCTCCCTCTTTGCTGCAGCGACTGCCAGTAGTGGCATCAAGGGCCTTAGGAGCAGCATCAGCAGCAGAACAACTACCATCCACACTCCTCGAACCATCACCAATCGACCCATCATGGCCCCTGCCTCCCTCTATTGCCCCTTCCCCTGCCACCTTCCCTCCCTTCCCCCCACCTCCTTGCTTCTCTTCCAGCTCACCCAAGTAACCACTCTCCGCACTGCTATCCCCTGCTATCCGCCCATCCGCCCTTCTGCTACCACCACCATCACCCGCTCCTGCCTCTGCTGCACCTCCCTCCTTCAACCCCCTCTGACCACCTTGTCCCAAAGCACCTTGTCCCAAAGCACCTTCCCCTGGAGCACCCTTCCTCCCATGGTCTAGGCTCGCACCCCCATCGGTGCTCCGGCCCTCTCCTCCCTGCTCCCCTTCTCCTTGCTCGCCACTCTGCTCTGCGCCTGCTGCATGTTGCTCTGCCTGCTGTGCGATCGGCTGTGCGCTCGGCTGTGCGCTCTGAGCTGCGCTCTGTGGTGTGCCTGCAGTGCCTGCAGTGCTGTGTGCGCGGGGCGGGGGCACGTCCGCCTCTGGCATGAGCAACAGCTCCACCACAAAACCCGGTGACGCCAGGCGCCTCTGTGCGTGAAAAAGGTAAGGTGAGAGGGCAAAGGGGAGATGACGTAAAGTGAGTGAAAAATGAGGGGGACTAGAGGAGCAGGTCCACCTCTGGCATGGGCAACAGCTCCACCACAAAACCCGGTGACGCCAGGGCCAGGCGCCTCTGATGTGATGCTCTGCCAGTCTTTGAGAATTCTCAAAAGCCAGGCGCCTCTGATGTGATGCTCTGCCAGCACACGGGGCACATGGGAGCAGCGTGGGGGGAGAGGGTGAGGGGGAAAGAGGTTAGAGTGGGGGGGGAGAGTGGGGGGATGGAGTGCGATGGGAAGAGGTTGAGGGGGAAAGCGGTAAGGTGATAGGGCATGGGGGGACAGGTTGGGAGAGGAAGGGGGAACAAAGATACAGAACCAGGGAGAATGGACGCGGCAATGCAAGGCGACATGGGAAGAGCAGAAGGTAGGGAAAGGAAAGGGGGCATGGTGAGGGAGTGGGGAGAGAAAGAAGCGAAGAGCGGGAATGGCAAGTGGGGGCGGGAGAAGGAGTTGTGGCATTTGCCACTTCACTCTGGAAACAAAGTGGAGTGGGATGACTTTTGAGTCGACTCAAAAGTCAGTCGACTCAAGAGTCGGTCGACTCAAGAGTCGGTCGACTCAAGAGTCGGTCGACTCAAGAGTCGGTCGACTCAAGAGTCGGTCGACTCAAGAGTCGGTCGACTCAAGAGTCGGTCGACTCAAGAGTCGGTCGACTCAAGAGTCGGTCGACTCAAGAGTCAGTCGACTCAAGAGTCAGTCGACTCCAAAGTCAGTCGACTCAAAAGTCAGTCGACTCAAAAGTCAGTCGACTCAAAAGTCAACTCGTCTTTTGCCGCTTCACTCAGGAAATCAAGTGGAGTGGGAATGTTTCCAGCTTTGCTTGCTAAGTAGTGGTCGCTTTTCCTTACTACTAACAGCAACACTGAAGAAGCAAGAACAGTGAGGCACTAGGAACAGCTGAAACTGATTGCGGGGGAAGGTAGCAAGGAGGGAGAAGTGGGTAAGGGGGGAAAGGGGGGGAAGGGGGCGGAGATTGGGGTTAGGGGGTGGGTGGAGAGGCGGGTAAGGAGTGAGAGAGGGCAACAGACCTTGTCGAATCCGTCCAGGTCCGTGGTCTTGAGCATGTGGTGCGACTGTGTGAAGCTGGTGTGCAGCCAGCTGTGGTGCGTGGTGGTGAGCGGTGAGGAGAGGTGAGGAGAGGTGATGGGAGGTGACAAACGGGGTTGAGGGTCGGGGGAAGAAGTAAGGAAAGGGGGCAGATGGGATAAGAAAGGGAGAGAGGGAGGAAGAAAGAGTGAGGGAGCGGGCGAGGGAGAGAGGAGTGGAGCGAGCACAGACAGAAGCCAGGAACGATTTTTGAAGCGTTTTAAAAATCAAATGCACCCAGGCAGTTCAAACAGAGCAGAGATTGAAAGCAATGCAAAGCATGCAGAGGATGTGGAGGGTGCAATGCAAGCAGTGCAGAAGCAGTGGGCGGAGCGGACCAGGAAAAGTTCCCATAGGAGTCGTGGAAGGTGATGCAGAAGTCGTCCTTGAGTGCACAGATGTAGCGCTCTCCCGGCAAGGCAAACAGCACCACTCCCTGCTTCTGCGACGCATGCCATGCTTGCTCCGCCTGTGCATGGGTGCGGGCACAGGCACATGCGAGCACAGGAGCACGTGAGCATAGGAGCAGCGGGAAAGCGTAGAGAAGAGATGTTGGTGCAGGCATGGGCAGAAGAGGGGAGGTGGGATAGGAATCCTGTGGCAACCTCAAACTTACGAGTCACCTGAAACTTACTAGTCACCTGAAACTTAATAGTCACCTGAAACTTACTAGACACCTGAAACTAACTAGACACCTGAAACTTACTAGACACCTGAAACTTACTAGACACCTAGAACTTACTAGTCACCTGAAACTTACTAGTCACCTCGAACTTGGTCCGAGCGCGCACCTTGGTCCGCGCGCGCGCCTTGGTCCGGGCGCGCACCACGCGCGCGCGCCTTGGTCCAAGCGCGCGCCTTGGTCCGGGCGCGCACCTTGGTCCTGGCGCGCGCCTTGTTTCGTGCGCGCGCCTTGGTCCGCGCGCCCGCCTTGGTCTGCGCGCGCGCCTTGGTCTGGGCGCGCGCCTTGGTCCGGGCGTGCGCCTTGGTCCGGGCGCGCGCCTTGGTCCAGGCGCGCGCCATGGTCCGGGCGTGCACCTTGGTCCGTGCGCGCGCCATGGTCCGGGCGCGCGCCTTGGTCCGCGCGCGCGCCGTGGTCCGCGCGCGCGCCATGGTCCGCGCGCGCGCCTTGGTCCGGGCGCGCACCTTGGTCTGGGCGCGCGCCTTGGTTTGCGCACGCCTTGGTCCGCGCGCGCGCCTTGGTCCGGGCGCGCGCCTTGGTCCGGGCGCGCCTTGGTTTGCGCGCGCGCCTTGGTCCGGGCGTGCGCCTAGGTCCGCGCGCGCGCCTTGGTCCGGGCGCGCGCCTTGGTCCGGGCGCGCGCCTTGGTCTGCGTGCGCCTTGGTTTGCGCGCGCGCCTTGGTCCGGGCGCGCCCCTTGGTCCGCGCGCGCGCCTTGGTCCGGGCGTGCGCCTTGGTCCACGCGCGGGGGCACGCCATGGTCCGTGCGCGCGCCTTGGTCCGGGGGGGCGCCTTGGTCCGCGCGCGCGCCTTGGTCCGGGCGCGCGCCTTGGTCCGAGCGCGTGCCTTGGTCCGGGCGCGCGCCTTCGTCTGCGCGTGCACCTTGGTCCGCGAGCGCGCGCGCCTTGGTCCGGGCGCGCGCCTTGGTCCTGGCGCGCGCCTTGGTCCGTGCGCGCGCCTTGGTCTGCGCGCCCGCCTTGGTCCGCGCGTCCGCCTTGGTCCGCGCGCGCGCCTTGGTCCGGACGCGCGCCTTGGTCCGCGCGCGCCTTGGTTTGCGCGCACGCCTTGGTCCGGGCGCGCGCCTTGGTCCGGACCATGGCGCGCGCCTTGGTCCGCGCACGTGCCATGGTCCGCGCGCGCGCCGTGGTCTGCGGGCGAGCCTTAGTCCGTGCGCGCACCTTGGTCCGGGCGCGCGCCTTGGTCCGCGCGCGCCTTGGTCCTGGCGCGCGCCTTGGTCCGCACGCGCGCCTTGGTCCGCGAGCGCGCGCGCCTTGGTCCGGGCACGCGCCTAGGTACGAGCGCGCGCCTTGGTCCTGGTGCGCGCCTTGGTCCGTGCGCACGCCTTGGTCCGCACGCCCGCCTTGGTCTGCGCGCGCGCCTTGGTCCGGGCGCGCGCCTTGGTCCGGGCGCGTGCCTTGGTCCGGGCGTGCGCCTTGGTCCGGGCGCGCGCCATGGTCTGGGCGAGCGCCTTGGTCCGCGCGCGCGCCTTGGTCTGGGGGCGCGCCTTGGTCCGGACGCGCGCCTTGGTCCGCGCGCGCCTTGGTTTGCGCGCACGCCTTGGTCCGGGCGCACGCCTTGGTCCGGGCGCACGCCTTGGTCCGGGCGCGCACGCCTTGGTCCGCGCGCGCGCCTTGGTCCGGGCGCGAGCCTTGGTCCGGGCGCGAGCCTTGGTCCAGGCGCGCGCCTTTGTCCGGGCGCGCGCCTTTGTCCGGGTGCGCGCCTTGGTCCGGGCGCGCGCCTTGGTAGGGCGCGCGCCTTGGTCCGCGCGCGCCTTGGTCCGCGCGCGGCCATGGTCCGGGGGCCCACTTTGGTCCGCGCGCGCCTTGGTCCTGGCGCGCGCCTTAGTCCGCCGCGCGCGCCTTGGTCCGGGCGCGCGCCTTGGTCTGGGCGCGACCCTGGTCCGCGCGCGGACTTGGTCCGGGCGCGCGCCTTGGTCCGCGCGCGCGCCTTGGTCTGGGCGCGCGCCATGGTCCAGGCGCGCGCCTTGGTCCGCGCGCGCGCCTTGGTCCTCACGCGCCTTGGTCCGCGCGCGCGCCTTGGCCCGGGCGCGCTCCTTGGTCTGGGCCCGCACCTTGGTCCGCGCGCGCGCCTTGGTCCGGGTGCGCGCCTTGGTCCGGGCGCGCGCCTTGGTCCGGGCGCGTGCCTTGGTCTGCACGCGCCTTGGTCTGTGCGCGCGCCTTGGTCCGGGCGCGCGCCTTGGTCCGCGCTCGCACCTTGGTCCGGGCGCGCGCCTTGGTCCGCGCGCGACCTTGGTCCGGGCGCGCGCCTTGGTCCATGCGCGCGCCTTGGTCTGGGCGCGCGCCTTGGTCCGGGCGCGCGCGCGCGCTTGCCTTGGTCCGGGCTCGCGCCTTGGTCCAGACGCGCGCCTTGGTCCGGGCGCGCGCCTTGGTCCAGGCGCGCGCCTTGGTCCGGGCGCGCGCCTTGGCCCGGGCGCGCTCCTTGGTCCGCGCGCGCGCCTCGGTCCGGGCGCGCGCCTTGGTCCGGACGTGCGCCTTGGTCTGCGCGCGCGCCTTGGTCCGGGGGCGCGCCTTGGTTCGGGCGCGCGCCTTGGTCCGGGCGCGACCTTGGTCCGCGCGCGGACTTGGTCTGGGCGCGCGCCTTGGTCTGCGCGCGCGCCTTGGTCCGGGCGCGCGCCATGGTCCAGGCGCGCGCCTTGGTCCGCGCGCGCCTTGTTCTGCACGCGCGCCTTGGCCCGGGCGCGCTCCTTGGTCTGGGCCCGCGCCTTGGTCCGCGCGCGCGCCTTGGTGCGGGCGCGCGCCTTGGTCCGGGCGCGCGCCTTGGTCCGGGCGCGTGCCTTGGTCCGCGTGCGCCTTGGTCCGTGCGCTCGCCTTGGTCTGGGCGCGCGCCTTGGTCCGGGTGCGCACCTTGGTCCGCGCGCGACCTTGGTTTGCGCGCGCCTTGGTCCGGGCGGGCGCCTTGGTCCGGGCGCGCGCCTTGGTCCGGGCGTGCGCCTTGGCGCGGGCGCGCTCCTCGGTCCGCGCGCGCGCCTCGGTCCGGGCGCGCGCCTTGGTCTGGACGCGCGCCTTGGTCCAGACGCGCGCCTTGGTCCGGGCGCGCGCCTTGGTCCCGGCGCGCGCCTTGGTCCGCGCGCGCACGCCTTGGTCCGGGCGAGCTCCTTGGTCCGGGCGCGCGCCTTGGTCCGGGCGCGCGCCTTGGTCCGGGCGCGCGCCTTGGTCCAGGCGCGCGCCTTGGTCCTCACGCGCCTTGGTCCGCGCGCGCGCCTTGGCCCGGGCGCGCTCCTTGGTCTGGGCCCGCACCTTGGTCCGCGCGCGCGCCTTGGTCCGGGTGCGCGCCTTGGTCCGGGCGCGCGCCTTGGTCCGGGCGCGTGCCTTGGTCCGCGCGCGCCTTGGTTTGTGCGCGCGCCTTGGTCCGGGCGCGCGCCTTGGTCCGCGCTCGCACCTTGGTCCGGGCGCGCGCCTTGGTCCGCGCGCGACCTTGGTCCGGGCGCGCGCCTTGGTCTGTGCGCGCGCCTTGGTCTGGGCGCGCGCCTTGGTCCGGGCGCGCGCGCGCGCTTGCCTTGGTCCGGGCTCGCGCCTTGGTCCAGACGCGCGCCTTGGTTCGGGCGCGCGCCTTGGTCCGCGCGCGCGCCTTGGTCCGGGCGCACGCCTTGGCGCGGGCGCGCTCCTTGGTCCGCGCGCGCGCCTTGGTCCGGGCGCGCGCCTTGGTCCGGACGTGCGCCTTGGTCTGCGCGCGCGCCTTGGTCCGGGGGCGCGCCTTGGTTCGGGCGCGTGCCTTGGTCCGGGCGCGACCTTGGTCCGCGCGCGGACTTGGTCTGGGCGCGCGCCTTGGTCTGCGCGCGCGCCTTGGTCCGGGCGCGCGCCATGGTCCAGGCGCGCGCCTTGGTCCGCGCGCGCCTTGGTCTGCACGCGCACCTTGGCCCGGGCGCGCTCCTTGGTCTGGGCCCGCGCCTTGGTCCGCGCGCGCGCCTTGGTGCGGGCGCGCGCCTTGGTCCGGGCGCGCGCCTTGGTCTGTACGCGCGCCTTGGTCTGGGCGCGCGCCTTGGTCCGGGCGCGCGCGCGCGCTCGCCTTGGTCCGGGCTCGCGCCTTGGTCCAGACGCGCGCCTTGGTCCGGGCGCGCGCCTTGGTCCGGGCGCGCGCCTTGGTCCGGGCGCGCGCCTTGGCCCGGGCGCGCTCCTTGGTCCGCGCGCGCGCCTTGGTCCGGGCGCGCGCCTTGGTCCGGACGTGCGCCTTGGTCTGCGCGCGCGCCTTGGTCCGGGGGCGCGCCTTGGTTCGGGCGCGCGCCTTGGTCCGGGCGCGACCTTGGTCCGCGCGCGGACTTGGTCTGGGCGCGCGCCTTGGTCCGCGCGCGCGCCTTGGTCTGCGCGCGCGCCTTGGTCCGGGCGCGCGCCATGGTCCAGGCGCGCGCCTTGGTCCGCGCGCGCCTTGGTCTGCACGCGCGCCTTGGCCCGGGCGCGCTCCTTGGTCTGGGCCCACGCCTTGGTCCGCGCGCGCGCCTTGGTGCGGGCGCGCGCCTTGGTCCGGGCGCGCGCCTTGGTCCGGGCGCGTGCCTTGGTCTGCGTGCGCCTTGGTCCGTGCGCTCGCCTTGGTCTGGGCGCGCGCCTTGGTCCGGGCGCGCACCTTGGTCCGCGCGCGACCTTGGTTTGCGCGCGCCTTGGTCCGGGCGGGCGCCTTGGTCCGGGCGCGCGCCTTGGTCCGGGCGTGCGCCTTGGCGCGGGCGCGCTCCTCGGTCCGCGCGCGCGCCTCGGTCCGGGCGCGCGCCTTGGTCTGGACGCGCGCCTTGGTCCGGACGCGCGCCTTGGTCCGGGCGCGCGCCTTGGTCCCGGCGCGCGCCTTGGTCCGCGCGCGCACGCCTTGGTCCGGGCGAGCTCCTTGGTCCGGGCGCGCACCTTGGTCCGGGCGCGCGCCTTGGTTCGGGCGCGCGCCTTGGTCCGCGCGCGCGCCTTTGCCCTTGGGCGCTCCTTGGTCCGCGCGCGCGACTTGGTCCGGGCGCGAGCCTTGGTCCGGGCGCGCGCCTTGGTCCGGGCGCGCGCCTTGGTCCGGGCGCGCGCCTTGGTCCGGGCGAGCGCCTTGGTCCGCGCGCGCGCCTTTTTCTTCGCGCGCGCCTTTGTCCGGGGGGGCGCCTTGGTCCGCGCGCGCGCCTTGGTCCGGGCGCGCGCCTTGATCCGGTCGCGCGCCTTGGTCCGGGCGCGCGCCTTGGTCCGGGCGCCCGCTTTGGTCCGTGCGTGCGCCTTGGTCCGTGCGCTCCTTGGTCCACGCGCGCCCCTTGGTCCACGCTGGCGCCTTGGTCCACGCGTGCGCACGTGCGCGCCTTGGTCCACGCGCGCGCCTTTGTTCACGCGCGCGCCTTGGTCCACGCGCGCGCCTTGGTCCACGAGCGCGACTTGGTCCGCGCGCACCTCAAACTTACTAGTCACCTCAAACTTACTAGTCACCTCAAACTTACTAGTCACCTCAAACTTACTACTCACCTCGAACTAACGAGTCACCTCAAACTTACTAGTCGCTGCTCTCCGCTTGCCACACGTCGTCCATCCGCCCACCCACGGCCATGCATCAGCCCCCTCACCTGCTGCCTCCGTTGCCTTTCCGTAGTAAGCCGTCAACCCTTTTGTTGAATCAGTTCATTTCTACACAATCGCACGCGTTTCGTTCATGATCCGTCCTTTTACCGTTGTTGAAGTTATTGTATGTACCCCTTGGTGATGTGGCGATGATTGTGGAGCAGCTTAGGAGTGTCTAGTGTGATATGATATTCAGGACTCAGGACGAGGAAAGCATGGGGATGGGGCGAAGAGAATGGAGGGGAGAGGGGAGGAGAGAAGGGAAAGGGGCGCGATGGTGGCTCACCGACAGATGGGACGTTCTGGGATGAGTGCGAGAGGAAAAGATGACTCCTGCTCATGCATGCGCAGTGGTGCATGGAGGGAAATGCATGGGCAATGTTGCGAGCAGACACACAGCACAGGCCAGTGAGTTAGCCGGGTGATTCCCAATGCAAGATGGGCGTGGTGAGATGTCAATACGGTGGGTGGGCTGGGAGGCGAACGGTTGCAAACGAGGTTGTGATTGTGATGAGAGGCGAGGTGGTGAGGTGTGAGGTGGTGAGGTGCGAGGCGGGCAGGGAGCAAGGAGCACCTGAGGGGGAGGAGACGGTGATGAATGGTCGGATCCAGTAGGGGCAGCGGTGCAGGCGAATTCCCCTCAGCACTAGGGGGCTGCTCATAGCACAGAGCAAGGGGCAAGAGGCAAGGGGCAAAGGGATCACATGCATGGGAGATGAACGGGAGGGTCAAAACTGTGCTCTCTGAAATAAGGCAGAGAGGCGGTGTGGGGGAAGTGGGGAGGCTTCAAGAAGAGGGAGGGGAAGGAAGAGGAGGTGTACCGTTGGGGGGCCAGTGAGGGAACTGGGGCAGAGGTGGCACGCAGGATGGCTTCATAGTATGCCACGTGGCGCTGCATGGTGCGCAGTTGGGGGGGGGAGAGGGGGAGGGAAGGAAACCGGGAGGGAGGGAGGGAGGGAGGAGGCAAGGTAAGTCAGAATGGAAGGGCAACTGAGAGAAGGAGATGTGAGGAGGGAGAGTTAAGGAGCGCAACAGAGTGGGCAAGGGCATGGGGGTGAAGCATGGGGGTGAAGCATGGGGGTGATGCATGGGGGTGATGCATGGGGGTGATGCATGGGGGCGAAGGCATGGGGGTGAAGGCATGGACGGGGTGTGGAGGCACAAGCTACAAAGCACGGAGGGAAGGGATAGACAAAGGGGTCGAGTCGAGCGGGGGAGAGGGGGAGCGGGAGGAGCACCTGTTGGCTGGGCGAGGTGAGCGCCTTGCCATCCACACTCCTCTTGTCTCGGAACAGCGCTACGGCCTCCTGTGCTGTGCTGCACACCTGGTGCCGCCCGCCCCATGCATGGGGGGCGCAGAGCAGGGGAGTGTGGGCGTGGGGGAAGTGTGGGAGCGGGGGGAGTGAGGGAGTTGGGGGAGTGAGGCATGGGATGTGTTGAGAGGGTGGGGGGGGGAAGGAAGAGGGTGGAGGGAGTCTGAATGGCAGGAAAGCGAGGGCATGGGAGGCGTGGCTGAAAAGTGTGCGTAGGCTAGCACGCCATGGCGTGGAGGGAGAAGTGCATAGAGGGAAATAATGCAACTCAAACTCACACACAAACCCATGTTCCTGGCTTGGCCCATTCCCTTCCGCTCTGCACCTCTGCCCTCCCCCTCCCCCCTGAGTGCCCACCTTGAGAGCAAGCAGCAGGCATGCCACGACAAGGCCTGTGCGCCCCATGCCCGCCTTGCAATGCACCACCACCACATTGCCTCCGCCGCTGCTCATGCTGCCATCGCCGCTGCTGCTGCTGCTGCTGCTGATGCCACCTGCCTGCCCTGCTTGCCCTGCTTGTGTGGCCTCCCCACCTGCAGCTGCCCCTGTGCTGCTCCCAGGCCCCCTTTTCCCACCTCCTGCGAGCCACCCCTTGGCGCTCTCACAGAGAGCGAGCGTGAGGGCGAGGGGCGGGCACGTGCCGTCATCAAAGGGGAAGCACGCCACCTGCGACAGAGACAGGGCCAAGGAGAAGAGACCAGCTGAGTGCACGACCAGACGACGACTTGTTGGGTCTAACTACCAGCTGAGTGCACGACCAGACGACGACTTGTTGGGTCTAACTACCAGCTGAGTGCACGACCAGACGACGACTTGTTGGGTCTAACTACCAGCTGAGTGCACGACCAGACGACGACTTGTTGGGTCTAACTACCAGCTGAGTGCACGACCAGACGACGACTTGTTGGGTCTAACTACCAGCTGAGTGCACGACCAGACGACGACTTGTTGGGTCTAACTACCAGCTGAGTGCACGACCAGACGACGACTTGTTGGGTCTAACTACCAGCTGAGTGCACGACCAGACGACGACTTGTTGGGTCTAACTACCAGCTGAGTGCACGACCAGACGACGACTTGTTGGGTCTAACTACCAGCTGAGTGCACGACCAGACGACGACTTGTTGGGTCTAACTACCAGCTGAGTGCACGACCCAAACCACCTCCCACCCCCCTCCCCTTTCCCTTCCCATCTCCCTCCCCCGTTTTTCCCTCTCCAGCCCCTCCCCGTCCCCATCCCAACGCCCATCCCCAATCCCATCCGCGTCTGATCCCTGCCCTCCCCTCCCCTGCAATGCACGCACGGTGCCGTGGAAGCGGTCAGGGTCGTAGAGGCGTTCGGAGCAGAGGTTGTAGACCTTGTAGCGCCCGCTGTGCCGCGACTCCAGGAACCGCATCACATCATCCATGTGGTTGCGGTACAGGCCCTGGGCCACATGCACATGCATGATCATGCGCACACATGCACACACATGCACACACCATGCACACACCATGCACACACATGCACACACCATGCACACACCATGCACACACATGCACACACCATGCACACACATGCACACACCATACACACACATGCACACACCATACACACACATGCACACACCATACACACACATGCACACACCATGCACACAGCATGCACAGTTGTGTATACGAGTAAATGCGTGAGAGCACATACAGAAACGCGGCCCACAAGCACAAAGCATGCAGACTCAAGATACCCCACAAGTGCATGCTCTGACCATTGCCACACCCCCAGGCGCCATGGCAATCTCCCACACTGACCTCCACGAAGCCCAGCAGGCCGGAGCTAGGGTCGCCCGCAGGGAAGCCCATGGCAATGATGCTGTCCGTCACGTACGTCAGATCCAGGTCGAAACCCCCCTCCTGCTCCACGCCACACCGCCACAATGCCATGTGCCACGTGTCAACGCGAGATGGACATGGCATAACATGGGCCATGTGGTGGAAGAAAACTGACACAGAAAGAACAGCAGGAGCAGCAGCAGCAGCAGCAGCAGAGCAGGAGCGGGCATGGAGGGCAGCGCACCTGGAAGCGGCGGTGGTTGTGGGCGACGAGGTGGCGCGCGTGAGTCTGCATGGCCTTGGCGGCCCTGCTCAGCTGGCTGCTCCAGAAGCTCATGCCCATGCCCACCGCCTGCCCTGCCCTCGCCTTCTCGCCGTCACCCCCGCTGCCGCTGGCGCTGCCGCTGCCGCTGGCGCTGGCGCTGCTGCTGCTGCTGCTTCTGCTGACCATGGGGGTGCTGCTGCTGGAGACATTGGTGCTTGCAACGTTACTCAAGCCTTCGACACCACCACTGTCAGTTGAACCGTCACCACCAGCACCACCATCAGCACCGGCAACAGCATCAGCAGCAGCATCGGCATCGGCGGCACCATCCACGCTCCCATGCTGAGCACCTCCTTCACTGCCTCTACCCTCTAGCCCTGCCGTTTCCTCTCCTCCGCCACCTGTTTCTACTCCACCCCTTTCTCTTCCCCCGTTTTCCGCGCCTCCGCGCACGCCGCTTTCTGCGTCCGCTTCCGCCCCCCCAGTCCCCTTCAACTCGTCATATCCGCCTTGCTCACTCGAACTCCCGCTCGTCCCCTCTGCGCCGTCTACGGCATTTCCTCGATTCCGTGTCTCCGCGCACTCCGCCGACCCCCATTCCCCATCGTCCGTCTCCGCTTCGCTGCAGCGGAGTTCCGCCCGCGCGCCATCTTCCGCGGACATGGATTCACTCATTATCGCGCCGTCGCCAGGTCTTCCGCTCGCGGCAGAATCAATTTCTTCTGGGCAACCGTACTGTTCATCAGAACTCACTGTCGCTCCTACTGATGCGCTGCCTTCCCCGCCCGCTTCCCCACTCCGCGGGGGGGACACACTAGCTTCCGCAGCGCCAGTCGTTCGCGCAGTGTCCGCCTCTCCGTCCATAGTGATACCCTTTGCGGTTCTCAGCAAAGCCGCGCCTTATTCGCGGGTCGTCCAATGCCTACTTGCTCCCGCGCTTCTCCTTCAGCTACTTGATTCGCCACCAATGGAACAGGCCAATTGAGCCCAAGCTTACCATTGGTGTATGTGAGAAAAGAATTATGACTCTTGAAAATGACGACAATGGACCTCCATTGTCCGAAATCCGTTATTGCGAACGACTGTTGTGGTGAAGGAGAGATCCAACTGTAGTGGATTCCATAGAATTAAGTTTGTGAAAACCATGCATTCCTTTCTGTTTCGTTAAGCCCCGGACTTCCATTTATCGTCGGGTGATTACCTAGCGAACATCAAAGCACACCAGCCACCAACCTTTTCCGAGTTCTCATTTTCCTTTCTCACCAAACCCACAACCTTCACCAAACCGCGCTGAATCCGCCCTCCCTGTCACTCGAGAATATCCTCGAGAATCGGAACTCCCCAAACCCCCTCCACAGCCCCAGCTTCCGCGCCATACCTTCCCACTCTGCCAGCAGAACAACACCACCCCCTCGCCCCCTTCCGCTCGCCAGTCATCCCCCTCCTGCGCCCCCTTTCCCCCGAAACCCTGCCGCGCGCATCCCTGCTGCGCCGCTCAGAGGTGCATCCCTCCAGAAGCATCTGGTGCAGCAGAGGCGGGCAGAACAGGGCAGTGTGAGTGTGCGCTCCTTCAGTTCTGCCCTAAAGCTTGTCTGCCTGCCATTCCAGGCATTTTTTCTGCTATCCCTTCGGCCTGCACTTTGATGCTTCTCTTTCTATCACTATCCCGTATTTCGTGAAGCTACTCCGTGTCTACCGGGTCGTTGGCGCGTTATTCCCAAGGCCTAGCAACGCGTAGCAATTTCTATTCGTCATCCGCCAACGGGGGAAACTAGGGATGGTTGACCCAATAGCGGTCACCGTTATGTCCGCGTAGGTTGCACCTCAGGGTAGTCTCCATGACTGTCCTAAGATGTCCGCTGGCTAGGCGCACTAGAGCATGCCGGACCCTAGTTCTTGTGTCTTAGTTCCTTAGGATTTACTGCATTGCATTTCTCCAGTCTTTCTTCCACCTTAGACCGTAACGCGTAGGCCGTTAGCGGATCGTGAAGTCGAAAGGAGCATCGTGGATTCGCGGCGACCGCAGCCGCAGGCGTCTCCTCCGCGGGCCGTCCCTTGCGCAAGGGCGCGCTGATGCCGCGATACGGACAGCAGGGGGGGGAGGCCGCCAGCGGCGCAAACCAGATGGCGACGGAGGAAGCGGCATCTCGGCAACCAGCACCAGAGCCTGTTGACATGCAAGGTCCGTGTGGTGCGATGGCGGGGTGCTATTCAGTGGAGTTTATGGTTTGACCGGTGGCGCAGTGCAGTAATAAAGAGTCCAGTGTTAGAATATTACCGGTGCGGGCGAGCTGGCGCGACGACGACGAAGGCGCACGGAGACCGCTTCCGCCAATAGCCTAAGCTTCGCGCTTCAACATCTGCTCGTCCCTGTCGAAGAACTCTCAAGAATGGCTCCATTCTCGTTATTCTCTCTCGTTTTCAGCGCTTCGTCTCTCCATGCGCCTCCACCCTCGTTCTTGCCCCTGTTGCGCGCTCTCCCCTGCCCGGCGTCGCGCCACGCAGAGCTGCGAATGATGAAGGAGCGGTTCGCGAAGCTGTTACTGGGCGAGGACATGTCGGGCGGCTCCAAAGGCGTGTGCCCCGCGCTCGCCATGTCCAACGCCATTACCAACCTCTCAGGTATGCGCGCTGCTCTGCTCCTCGCAGGGATGCATCTTTCACTCGCGTAACCTTGCTGAGTTTTGACCGCAGCAAGCCAGCGTTTCTTTCCCAAACGGGTGTCTTTCTTTCCCCTCTCCAGTTTCCCGCACTGGTTATGAGCATGCCGCTATCTATGCTCGCGCCTTTCTCATGTCATGTCATGCCGTTCTGCCATCATGCCATGACTAGTGGCGCTTCATCGCGCATACCCCGTACAGTCACGCCCGCATAACCACTCCCTCCCTCGCCCATCCCACTCAACCCCCTCCCCCCATGTTGAGGCCTTTCGGAAGAAGCTCACCATCCCTGTCCCTCTCCCTTTCCCCCCAACCACCCCCACTCTCCCCGCCCCTTCCCCCCACTCCTCCTCGCCCTCCGCCTGCCCCCGCCGTTGCCCCCTGCCCGCTGCCCGGCGCGCAGTGTCGCTGTTCGGCGAGGGCATGCGGCTGCGGCCGCTATCGGCGGACTGCAAGCGGCGGTGGCGCATGGAAATGGGGATCATGCTGTCCGTGTGCCAGCACATCGTCGAGCTCGTGCCGCAGTCGCAAACCATGCCCGACGGCTCCACGCAGGAGGTCCGCCTCTCGCGCGCTCTCCCACTCACCCACTCGCTCGCTCACTCGCGCACGCACGCACGCACTCACTCACTCATTCACTCTCCCGCTCACGCACCCGCTCACACGCCCGCTCACTCGCTCGTTGCACCCTCACAAGTCATTTCCCCCGTCGGTAGGTTCCCCTCTGCTCGTTTTCCTGCTGCCGTCGTCTCGTTCCCGGGCGTGGCCCACCGCGCATGTCCTTACCCTCCCCCCCCATTCCGGGCATGGCGGCGGCGGCACGCTGGAGGCGAAGAGGCGCGTATCCCGGGCGAGGCGGGAAGGGACGGCGCGGGAGAGGAGGAGGGGGGAGGGGGTTTGTTGGGAGGCGCGGGGGCGAAAGCGGGGTGTTGGACGGGAGTCGGTGGGCGGAAAGAGGAGATCGTTGACGGGGGAGTGTTAGTTGGGAGCGAGCGATTGTGATGCGAAAGCGGCTTTGTGCCGTATGGCCGGCAGTCCAGTCCAGCGTGATGGCGCCTCATGCGCCTATCGCTTTCTTCATCGCCCCTTCCGCACCACCTCCTCCCCCGCCTCACCACCCACACCTCACCCCGAACTCCCCTTCCCCCTCCCCTCCCCGCGCCCCCCACTTCCCCGCGGCTGGCGCTGATACCGGCGCAGGTGATGGTGACGAAGCAGCGGGACGACCTGCGGCAGCAGCTGCCTGCTCTGCGCAAGCTGGACGACATGCTGCTGGTGCGCGGGGTGGGGGGGGAAGAGGGCGGTGACGGGGGGGAAAGCGGGAAGGAGATGGGGGAAGGGGAAGCGGGACAAGGGGGCATAGGGATGATTGGCCGCGAACGGGGGGAGTAGTGGGTGGAGATGGGTACTTGCGGGTGGAAGGTGTGGTATGGTGCGGTGGCTGGCGGTTGAGTGCGTGCTTTAGTGGGAGGTTTAGTCTGCCATCCTATCGACTGGTTCCCTCTCCCACCACTCAACCCCTTTCCCTTGCCCCGCTGTCCGTGGCCTCTCTTTGTCTCTCCCTCTGCCTCTCCCTCTGCCTCTCTCTCTGCCTCTCTCTCTGTCTCTCCCTCTGCCTCTCCCTCCTCTCCCTCCTCTCCCTCCTCTCTCTATCTCTCCACTCTCCCACCGCTCCCCTCTCCATCCGCCCATCCCCTGCGTGCAGGAGATGTTGGACGAGTGCAACAGCACGGAGTACTGGTACACGCAGGAGCGCCCCGACCCCGTCGCCAACGGCGCAGTGGACGCCCACAAGGCCGCAGGCTCCTCCTCGTCCCGTCGCAACCCGCGCCACCGCGACGGCTGCACGTGCGCGGATTGCCAGGCGGACGCTGACGGCGACGACGATGGGTACGGGGGCGGAGGAAAAAAAGGGTTGAAAGCCCGAGGGGGCGGGGGCGGCGGCAGCGGTGGGGGAGGCGGCGGGGGAGGAGGGGTGATGCGGGAGTCGAAGACAGGCAAGTGGTGGCGGCCGGTGCCGCGGGTGCCGGTGTGTGGGTTGAGTGAGGGGCTGCGCAAGCACCTGGAGCACCAGATGGAGAAGGCGGCTCAGATTGTGAAGCTCGCCATGGCCATCAACACACAGGCGCTTGAAGACATGGCCGTGCCTGCTGCTTACACCGACAACCTGCCCAAGGTACGCCTGGGTGGGAATGGGGGATGGGGGCCTGCTGCTACTTTTGCGGCGCCTCAAAGGCCATCAACACTCAGGCGCTGGAGGATATGGCAGTGCCTGCTGCTTACACTGACAACTTGCCTAAGGTACGCCTGGGAATGGAGATCCGCTGCATGCATGTGTGGCTTTTCTTTTGTGCTTTCTCTGTTGTTGCTGTTCTTTGTTCTGCCATCCCTCTGTCGCCCCCCCTCTCTCGTCATTGCCCTGCCCAGTCGCCCTTGCCCTGGGCATGCCTTCCCCTCCATCTCTCACCTCCCAACGCCTGTCGCTGCACACACTCCCTTACAAAATCCCCTCCCCGGTCCCCTAACCCTCTCTGCACCAACCCCTCCCCCAACATCCCACTTTCCTCCTCGCCTATCTCCGCACACACCTGACAGTCGGGGCGGGCGGCACTGGGCGACCATATCTACTCGGTGATAATGAGCAGCAGCTTCAGTGTGGACCGGGTGTTGGATACAATCGACCTCACCAACGAGCACGCTGCTTTCAAGCTCGCTGCTTTCAATCTCGCCTGCTCCCTTTTGAGTCGACTCAAAACGCCTACCACTCCACCCACTCGCTCATGCAATCCTCCTCCCCGTCCCTACCCCTGCCCCTGCTCCACCCCTAACCTACCCCTACCCCCACGTCTCACAGTCGGGGCGAGCGGCACTGGGAGACCAGATCTACTCGGTGATAATGAGCAGCAGTTTCAGTGTGGACCGGGTGTTGGATACAGTCGACCTCACCAACGAGCACGCTGCACTCAAACTCGCCTGCCGCCTCGAGGCCGCTGTGTATCACTGGCGCAAGATGGCCCCGCCTCCCCCCACCAGGTGCGTCTGCGTGTACACGTGCGTGCGTGCATGCGCTCAGTGCGCCTCTCCCCCCTACTGCACCCCCTCTTGCTCTACTGCCACTATGCCCCACCACTTCCTGCTTTGCCCTATTCAGCTGCATATGGCGGTTGTTCCTATCACGAGTTTCTCGCTCCCCTGATTGCGTTTCTTCCAGCACTTTTCGCATGCTTCAACCGCCCTCTCTCCACCACATTCCTGCCAACCAACAACCTCGTACCACCTCCCGTTTTCCCTCCCCACTCCTACCTACTCCCGCCCCTCGTGCCATCAGGTCCCCTCAGCTGACCCATTCAATGAGTGGGCACTACTCGAGCTCCGGCCCACTAGGGCGAGACGTGTCCAAGTTTGAGGAGAACGCCAACCGAGCAGAGGCGTGCCTGCGCAGCATCAAGGACCGCTGCCCCTCACTGCCGCAAACCACTCTCGACACCTCCAAAATCCTCTACAACACGGTCGGTACAGCAGCGCCATGTCTTCTACCGCATGGCACCACTTGCTTGCCTTACCTTACCCTTGCCAGAAGTGTGCAAAATTGTGCCTTTTCTCCTTTTTACATGATTCGTCGTTCCCAGTTCACTTTCTGTCACCTATCCCATCCTTCCTCCCCTTCCCACTCACCCACCGTCCCCTTCCCCCACCTCTCCCACACCCTTCCCTCCCCTCACCCCACCACCCGTACCCCTCGCACGTTCTCCCCTCTCCACCTCCCCTCCTCCCCTCCCTTCCCCTTGCCCTCTTCAGGACGTGGGGAAGGCGGTATTGGAGAGCTACTCGCGTGTGCTGGAGGGAGTGGCGTCGAGTGTGCGCACGCGCATCCTGGACGTGCTACACGCCGACTACCTCGCCCACAACCCCGACGAGCACACACAGGACCGGCCCCTGCCCACACGCGTGGACGAGCACCCGCCGCAGCAAATGAGGGAGCGCCACCTGGACTTCAGCCTGCACATCCCCGACAGCGCGTTTGATGCGGCGTCGGATTACGACGAGACGGGGTCCGTGTATTCTGATTGGAGCACGCCGAACCTCACTCCCGTGGGGCCGGCTCCTCACCATGTGCACGGGCATGGGCATGGACATGGGCATGGGCATGGGCATGGGCATGCGGGAGGGGGAGGGGGGTATGGTGGGAGTGGGCATGGCGGAGCAGGGGGGAACGGGTCGGGTGTGCGGACGTTTGAGATTCGGCAGCAGAGCCTGCCGGTGCGGCTGGGGAGCAATGACCCGCGCATGCAGGCAGAGGCACAGCGCGCCATTGAAGCCGCCGGGGGGGGAGGGCCACGGGGGGGGTTGCGGCCACATAGCCCGATGCACGCACAAGGGATGGAGGCAGGGAGAGGCTCAGGGGAGGCGGGCATGGGGGGCGGAGGAGGCGGGATGGTGCCCCCTCCGTTTATGCGATCGGTCACGTCTCCCACTCACCGTGCGTCTGCATCGCTTGATCCCTCTGCGCCAGGGGGAGGGGGAGGGGGGAACGCAGGGCGGGGCATGCAGAACATGCAGGGGCACAATAGCTTCAGTGGCCACCCATCTCCCCCTCCTGGCCACTACCCATACTCCTCCCCTGAGCACCGCTTTGCACCAGGGCATGGGCAAGCACAGGGGCAAGCACAAGGGCAAGGGCAAGGGCAAGGGCAGGAGCACCAGGGAGGGGGGGCGAGTGCTGTGCCGTACAACCATGCAGCTGCAGCGGCGGCGGCGGCGGCAGCAGCTCGCAATCTGAACCGTTCAAACTCATGGAAGGGCTTCCTGCCATCGCGCAGGGGATCTAACCACCATGCCGCCGCTGCCGCTGCTGCCGCCGCTGCTGCAGCAGCAGCAGGAGGAGGTGGCGCGGGTACAGGGGGGTCACCAGGAGGCGGAGGAGGGGGAGGAGGAGGAGGAGGAGGAGGAGGAGGAGGGGGAAGTCCGCAGATGACTGGGGGAGGTGGGGGGTATGGTGGGGAAGGAGGGTCGCCGAACACAGGATATGGTGTGTACAGCATGGGAGGAGGAGGGGACATTGTGGGAGGCATGGTGGGGTCTCGTAGTGGGCCCTTGCCGCCTCATGCTCCCAGGGGCCTGGGGCACAAGCAGAACAGCGGTGACTGGAGCATGTCGTGAGGAGCCGGGGTTTCCTGTGTGTGGAAAACCAATGCACTGTGTGGATGCGGGATGTGGAAAATCTGCTGGTGATGCTAGGTTTATTTATTGTAGGGTTTGTCTACACCCGAGCTAATTGTACTGCTGTATGGGTTGGGATGGGATTAGTTACAGGGTCTCAGGACTAGTTCTGGTGGCGAGTCTGGTCCTGTTCGTGCCAGTCATGGCTGCTGCCAGTGGATGTGGAAGCACACTCCGGTATTTTGCAGCTGTTCTTTAGAGTTTGCGCATGTATTTATGGCTGTTGTGATGTATAATCACGTGGAAGAAATGATTTCTAACGGATTCCTTGACGGGATCACGAAGTAAAAAATATATCAAATAATTTCGGGTGTTAGAACCTTCGCGATGCACATTGATGCTTCCACGTTGTTCGTGTCCTCTCATTGGCGGTTCTTCGCAGGTACAACATCGCGATGCAAGCCTCCGCCACTGCGCTGGGAAAACATCTCGCAACGTGGTTACCAAACGCAATACGATTTGTTCGCATTCGGATGAACTCTTTAGGATGGGAATATGAGGAAAAGGCGAGAGATCCTCATTCGAACATCCATAGTCTGACTGATTCTCCGAGCTTCATTGAGACGACTACTCGCTGCTACGGAATATCTTTGCTTCCTAGCTCCGCGTGCGTAGTAGTTTTCTGAGTGTACTTGTAATTATTGCCATGTATCACACGCAGTGGTCGCGGAGGGTGTCGTCCCGTCGCGGAGCCGGTGCTCCCGTGTACGTCTACGTCATGGCTCTACAGGCGCTCCAGCAATTCTTCCAACAGCCGTATTCCCCGCCAGTCACCCTAGGGCTCATCGCGTTGATGACAGGAATCCACTTTCGACCCGCAGGGTTTCTGGAGGATAGTCTTCCGTACGTGTCGGAGATTTGCATGAATCCAGCTCTCGTCGTCCAGGTAAGGCAGCATCATGACCTTGCCATATCGCGCGAGCCTCTCAATCCGTCTCACGCATCAGGCCTTGAGTTCCTGTTTGTCCTGCCGTGCCCTTGCCGCCGCACCCACTTGCCCTTCTTCTCTTCCAGGAGTACCTACTCCGCGTCCTCCTCTCCCGTTTCCATCCCTTGCATCCCCCAGGAGCGCAACTGGCGGCGGCTGTTACTGAGCGTGCTGTTCCACGCGGACGACGCGCATCTCATCTTCAACATGGTCTCGCTCCTCTGGAAGGGCGTGCATCTCGAGCGCCGCCTCGGCTCGCCGCGCTTCGCGGCCCTCGTGGCTGCCTTCGCACTCCTCTCTCAGTCCCTGCACGTCGCTGCTGCGCGCCTGCTGTCTGACGTGCTCGCGCTGCACACGCCGTTCTACAGGGAGTGCTCCGTGGGGTTCTCTGGAGTTCTCTTCGCTCTGAAAACCGTTATGAACGCGGATTCGCCCGCTTACTCATCTGTCTACGGGTTTGTGCTGCCCACCAAGTACGCAGCATGGGCAGAGCTGCTGCTGATTCAGCTGCTGGTTCCGGAAGCTTCTTTCCTGGGACACCTCTGTGGGATCCTTTCCGGCCTGATCTACCTTCATGGGACTTCCCTCCTGCCGCGCTCTGCTCGCCCCTCCGCGTTCCTGTCCACGCTCGCTGCTCCGCTGCTCACGCTCTTCCCGTTTCTGCGCAGCTCAAGAGGGCGCACTTGGGGGTCTGGGCAGTCGGGGCAGGCTGCCAGGGGGGGAGCAGCTGGAGTGGCGAGCCCGGGACGGAGCGCAGGAGGATCAGGAGGAAGAGTTGGAGGAGGTGGGAGGGATGGGGTACCAGCAGGAGGTGGGGGTGGAGGTGTATGGAGATGCCGTGCATGCACGTATGACAATCCATGGCAGGCTGTGCGGTGTGCCATGTGTGAGGGAGCACGACCAGCAGGAGGGAGAGATGTGGGGGGAGGAATGGTAGATGGGTATGGTAGGGACACTGCTCCTTCTGCACCTAGTTTTCCAGAGGTGGAGGAAGAGGAGAGGGCTGGAGCAGAGCAGCAGCATCTACAGCAACCTCACAGGCGGCAAGGGAATGTCACTTCTGCAGAAGAGCTTAGAGCTCTGAGGCTAGAAAGGTTTGCTAGGTGATTAGAGCTGGCATGTCTCCTGGTTTGGATTAATGAATTGGAATCCAATATCACATTCTGTCAAAGCCACCAATATAATGTAGCTGATGACTAAGAATTAAAATTACCGTGGCAAGAAAATTGTGTTTCTAATACTTGTCTACGAAAGTACTACCTTATTGTCACTACAGCCTCCCACACAGGAAAGCTTGAAACTGTGCTGAATCTCTAGCTGAAAACTCAAAGCAGGACTCAGTACACTGGAACAAAATCGCTTCCTGTTGAAGGGACAAAATTGATGCAGTGAAAGGAGTGGTGAGCTCCAATCCAACTCGGCTCCTTCCAGCTGCAGTTCTCTGCTCCCAGCAAAGACGTCCCCGTCTGCAAAAATGCCGGCAGCAGAGCAAGTGTGAGCGTGCACGAATGAGTGCACCCGAGTGAGTATGGCTGGAGCATCCCTGGATGAATGCCAGGTCCCCAAGCCCCACCGTCTGCAACAGCCCTCCACAATTGGCAGCAGGACTGCTCTGTTGTCAACCATGCAATCAGCTGTGCCCCTCAACCCCCCATGGTCAACATAGTAACTCCAGCAATGCAGATTCTTCAGTTTCCCTCAGAACCAGCGACAACCACAACCCAACCATCACTTGAGGGCTCTCGTCCACCTCCTCAGGCGACCTCACAACGCCTACAGCACTTGCTTGGCCTCTAGCACCATCTCTACTGGATTCTCCTCCCCTCCCATCCGCCCCTCTGGCAGCAGCATCTGCGAGGCAACAGCTTCGTCCACGTCAGCCGTGAGCGCCATGAGCAGAGCCATGGTGGCCGCCACTCCCAGCGCTGACACCAGCGGAACCGGCGACCCGTCGTCGCCCTCCTTCTCCGGCTCCTCCATCTTTCCGAACAACTGCATCGTCAAACTGCCAGCTGTTCATGTGAGTCGAGGGGGAAGGTAAAGGGTAGGCGGAGAGGAGAGAGGACAAGGGTGAGACATGCGGGTTGGCTAAAGCGGAAGCAGAGCACGTCAGGAAAAGGCGAGTTACAACGTGAAAAGGTGAAATTAATCCGAGAGTACAAACATAGGAAGGTTAAGAATCGCGGCTTACCCAGAATCAAGGAGGCTCCGACCCAGCCAACCGGACCCCACCGCTCATTCAGCAGCACCCACGCGAACGCGGCGCCCCAGAGCGGCTCGAGCGTGTAAACCATGGCGGCCTCGGCAGCGGTGACGTCTCTGAGCGCAACGACCTCGACCCAGAGGCAGAAAGCGGTGGATAGCACGCCAGTATACGCCATCTGCCACCACGGCCATGCCTGAATGGCGCTCCAGTCGCACGCCAGCAGCGAGTTAAGCCCGGGAATAGGCACGCCGCTAGAGTTGAGGAACAGCATCCAGGCGATGGAGAGCACGGCGGTCACGGAGAGCTGCAGGGAGATGAGCGGGATGGCGTCTGTGGGCTCCACGTGGCGCGTGTGGTGCTCGGAGCGCAGCATGTGGATGCCGAACAGCAGCGCGCTCGCGATGGTCCAGATCTCGCCGAGCTGTGATTGGCGGAAGGGACGCGGAAAGAGAGGATCGGAATTGAACGTTTAGATGATTAATTGGGATGTGAATTGAACATAACGGCTCTGAAGTGCCGCTTCGAAATGACGCAGATGAAGGTTCGAGGCAAGTGAAACGAGTCGACTTACAAGGGACGAGTCCGATGCGCCGGTTTCCAGCAACGCTACTCCAACGACAGCAGCAGCGGCGGAGGCCCAGGTGATGTAGGGAATTTTGGCGCCGAACACAAGGCCCGCAATCAGCGGCACCTCGATGACCTGCATGCGGAAGGAACGAGCGCACAAAGGATCAGATGCACGTCAGATACACGGCTGGAGGTTGCTGGAGGAGAGGGATCAACAAGACGCAGGGACGGGTGAACTGGACCGCTGGAATCCAGCAATCAAACGACGCGCGAGAAGCGATTACGACGCAATGATACTGCACTATGAAATACCAGAAACCATTTTTTTCCCGACGGACAGATAATTTCGAAATGATTCAATTCCCCAGCTATGCGCACCGTGAACGTGCCGATGAAAGCGGCTCGCCCCGCCTCCGTGGTCTGCAGGCCGACGGCTTGCGCGACGTAACCCGCGCTGGCCCACACGCCCAGCTCCAGACCCGCGCGCCGCACTTCGGGCTTGTCGAGAGCTTTGCGGAGGAATGGCGCGAAGGCGAGCGCTGCGATGGCGAAGCGGCCGATGGAGAAGCTGAACGCGTCCAGTGCTAGTTGCCCCTCCTTGATCACAGAGAGGTTGGATCCTGCAAGGGGGAGGGGACGCAAGGGGTATGGAACGCCAACACATCAATCACACGGCTCAATTATGCGAAATTGAGCATCATGGAGTGTCACCTGACGAAGGGGATGAAAAAATCAGCAAATTACCAGACGAAAAATGTTAACTCCGGCCTCCAGGAGCTCACCGTATAGGAAGGTGAGCAAATTGAGCAGCGCGAGGCCGCGAACTCGAGGCGAGATCTTGGATTTAATCCATTTCGACGCTGCCTCTGGGGCCCTAAGTACAGTGTCTTGAACATCCTCGAGAAAAGTGTTCCTCTCTTCGACGTAGGGCTCTGGCGTAAGCAGGCCGATCGCGTTGCACCGCAATTGCTCCTTGTTAGCGGACTCGGGTCGCACAGAACATGTGGGAGCAAACCGGCGCCGACAATTGCTGTCTGGCTTGCGAAGTTGGGAAGCGGCGAGGGCGGTCACGTGGAGCTTTGGAAGGAAGTAGGTAGTTAGGGAAGCTCGGACTTGCCCAGTTGAGCGTAATTGTGGTTGCCCAATTGGCATAGACGTGCTACACGCTCTTAGAGTCTGTGTCGCGGCCATCTGAAAGGTCTGCAAATGCAGAGGGAGTTCAATATTAGACAATTCCGGAAAGCGGAAGAGAAATTAAGGACCGTCGGCGAAATAGTAGTCACGTGATGGGCTGCTTAACTCGAGGGTGTTTGTTTCAGAACATATTGTTAGTCGGTTGAGGCAGTGAGTGACGAGAGAGCGGCAGCGGTACAGAAACCATAAACGCAGAGCACAAACATTTATGGACCTGCCTTGGTAACTGGTCGAAGTTCTCTCTGCCTGGTTCATTCTGCTGGTCCGCCGCTTTCGCCATCCCCCCCCCCTCTCCGCCTGCAAGGCCCTCGTTTCCGCCCATTCTGGACCATTCCCGCTCACGCGCTACTCCTTCAGGGCAAGAGTGCTCGCGCGCAGCACATTCGGGGAAGGGGGGCCATGCCACGACGGCATTTCATGGCGCACGTTGGGCGCACGGTGAGTGGAGTTCCTCCAAGCAGAGCGATCTGGTGTGGTCTGATTGGGAGAGAGGGGACCTTGGGAATCCATGTGACCTGACCAGTTCGCATTTTTTGTCACTGTAGCAACGCCGCAGCTGTCTTGCGGGGATCTCCGCCCCAGCAGCTGGGTAGAATCGAGGAATGCTCCCGGAGTCTTGGGGAAGATCCCCAGGAGAGCTGCGGCGGAACACACGGAGTCCGGAGTGTTATCCCCAGATGCGTGACAGGATGAGAGTGAGAGGTCAGCAACGGCCGTCACGAATCGCGTTCGGTAGAGAATGGGGATGGCGGCTCGATCTTGTTCACACAAATGAGGGCATCTGGGTTACGCCAGCTGCGCAAAAGATCCTCAGTTGCGAGAGGTGGAACACTTTCTGCGCTGCCCTTGCGGCCCAGTGTCTTGCTCTGCTTTCGGCTGGGACTCTGTGTTGGCAGCTCACGTGGGACTCCAGTGCTGCTGAAGGTGCCCCACGCGGCGACCGAATGACGTGGCTGTATTTCTTCTGCCTGTGAGAGATGTCCAGCAGTCGAAGAAAGGCTTTTCATTGGGCAACTGATCTATCCAAGAACAAGGGCGAGCAATGCACCTGGAGATCCATTGAATGAACATTTATTAATGAGTGTACTGGTACATGAAATTATGGGCTTCAAATACTAGGTGTGTTGTGAGGAAAATCATGCATCATTTGTATGATGTGTTCATATATTTCAGTCTTTTTTGTTACCTATATCATACACTATCATTTATTCTTACATGATCAACAACATAGATCTTAGAATTAACATATTGATGAGAAATCACATGAATAGATAGAGTGGTACCTTTGAGCTTGCTAATGGGTAGTACACTTATCAATTGAGTTACTCGTCCTATGTACAGCGTTCACCACGCTACGAGGCTGATAGCGAAGGTCTTAGCGCCTGACGAGGAGTCTTCGAGGAAGTGCCCCTTGAATCTTGTTCGTTGGTGGGAGGGAGGGAACTTCGTATCCTGTGCGCTGCGCGCCTCCGCAGTGGGGCCTGTATGCGTGTGCCTGGCTCCCAAAGTTCCTTCAAATCCGACTGTCAGTGCACCCGCGCTGCGACCTTCTGCGACAAGAGAGCTGACGGTCAAACAGTGGAGTCCGGTCACTCTGTTCTAGTGCACTGGAGACATGGTGCTCCATGCGAAGGGCTGCCTGTTGGACGAACGTCGTCAGTCAGTCGCCTGGCCACATGACCACCATCAAATTCGCCTTTCGCCCTGGCCCAGAACAATTTCGCCAAGACACACAAGCCCTCCGGAATCCGCGATTCGGAGAGGTGCTCCAGGGTTGGTTCTGCTAACATTTTGAGACAAGCTCGACGCGACACGGTTTCTGCTGAAACCAAATTCTGGTCTTTCCCACCACCTCCTAAGAGAACCAACGTTATTCCCTTGACCAAAGAGCTTTCTTTCTTCACAATTCTCTTTCTCGACACCAAAATCACAGCCAGTCGCCAGTGTTTGATTCCCAGGAGCCGTGGTAGTAATGCTCCGTTCATACGTGTCACTCCAGTGTACCCGTAGTCTGAAATCGTGAGGGTGTAAGTCGACGAGGAGCAGTCCGTCTGATCAGAAGGCGGAATAGAGGCGCTTGTCAAGCTGTAATCCAAACATGGCTCGTATTAGAAACTCGACGCCCGGCACCTATCTCGTCGCGTCGCGCGAATACGCCTGCACTAGTAGAACAGATTCATAGCCTCCTTTAAACGTTAACGAAGTCAATTTCAACGCAAATCCATCACGTCAACCTTATCCAGACTCACGCCCTTGGAACAATCCCTCCTTTTAAACTACTCACAGAAATACTAACCACGTGGTCGCCTACATCCTCGCCCACTCCTACACTGTGCGAACGCAGCCATGCCTCCAGGCAGCGGTAGCGCACTCAGCGCGGGAGCTTGGCCTGGCATCACGGTTTCCGCACCCATCCCAACCGCATCCGAACCAACAAATGTACCTGCCTCTAGCGAATCCTCCGCTTCTACCACTCCCCCGCCTCTCACCCACGAGCCGTTTCCTTCCATCGCCCCCAACTCGCCTTCCTCCTCCACCTACTCCTTCCGCGTGTTCCCAACTTCGACGGCGCCCCCTGACCGCCACGTCAACGCTGCGTACGAATTTGTGTCGCAGATCGGCGAGGGGCGACACGGCACCGTCTGGCTGGTGGAGGACCGCGCCTCGGGAGCGACATACGCATGCAAGAAAATCAGCAAGCGCGGGCTCGAGTCCGCATGGGACCGCGACGAGGTAAGGCGCGAGGTGGCGGTGATGCGCGTGCTGGCGGGGCGGCACGGCGGCGTGGTGCGGCTCCAGGAGGTATTGGAGGATAGCGAGGCGGTGTACTTAATTATGGAGCACTGCGAGGGCGGCGAGCTGTTCGATAAGATCGTGGGCGACGGGCGGCTGCATCCGCTGGAGGCGGCGCACCTGTTCCGCCAGCTGGTTTCCGCCGTGCAGTTCTGCCACGCGCAAGGCGTGCTGCACCGCGACCTCAAACCCGAGAACATCCTGCTCACGCGATCCGCGGGACTCGACGGGAGGAACGCGCGGGGACCGCAGCAGCAGGAGGCAAGCCCGAGCGCGAAGGATCAGGCGCAACGGACACTGCGGTGGCAGCAGGTGAAACAGCAGGAGCAGCAGGAGGAGCAGCAGGGAAAGGAGGAGGACTGGGAGGAAGAGCGGCGGAAGGATGGCAAATCCAACGCTCAGGGAGGCGAAGAGGCTATGCCGCTGACGGCGCAGCAATTCAACATCGAACGGCCCACAGAGCCCGCTAATACCGTGAATTCCGGTAAGAAGGTGCCAGTGTCAGCTGTCCCTGCTGCTGGCAGTCAGAATAAAGCCGGCGACTCGCAGAACATTCGCTGGCCGGTGCAGCAAGGAGGCGCCGGAGTGACCGCAGCCGCCAAATCCGCCGCGAGGTCCGCCGCGGCCGTCGGCGGGGCCACCACCCGCGCGGTGGGAAAAGCGCTCACGGGACTGGGCGCGCGGAGTGCGAGTCAACGTTCCCTGCTGCAGTGGCACGTGCGGCTCGCGGACTTTGGATTCGCCGTGTTTCTCGCTCCCGGAGAGAAGACGTCCGACGTGGCAGGCAGCCGGCTGTACGAGGCGCCTGAGCTGATTCGATTCGAGCCGTTCGACTTTAAAGCCGACATCTGGTCGCTGGGAGTGGTGCTCTACGCTATGCTCTCGGGCTGCCTGCCGTTCCGAGGCCGCGACGACGACGAGCTGGGCCGTCGGATCATGGAGGGGCGGCTCAATCTGACGTCCAAGCCGTGGCCGTCTGTGCCGGGCGACGCGAAGCGACTGGTCGCGCGAATGCTTCAGGTACGACGTGCGAAAGAGGAGTAGCAAGAACTTGAATTAAAATGCGGCTATAGCAAAGCTTTGTACGGCCTAAATCTGTAATGTTTCTTTCCTGATTTGCTTTTGTCGACGCACTCGACCATGCAGGCCAAACCTCTCCTCCTAGCCCGTCCAACCCCCACTCCCCCTCTCCCTCCCCCGGTGTTGCGCGGCACCAGGTGGAGGCGGGGCGGCGGCCGTCAGCAGAGGAGGTGCTGAACGACGCGTGGGTGGTGCGGCACTTCGGCGTGGCGGCGCCCGCCAGGCGACTTGGCCCCATCCCGCCGCCCTCGCTGCTGCAGGAACTCGAGGAGCAACCGCCGTGCGGCTCGCCGGCCTCTGCTGCTCCCCCTGATCTTCAGCTTCCTCCTGCTGCTCCTGCTGCTGCTCCTGCTGCTGATCCTGCTACTCCTGCTGCTCCCGCTGCTGATCCTGCTACTCCTGCTGCTCCCGCTGCTGATCCTGCTACTCCTGCTGCTCCCGCTGCTGCTATTGACGTCGTGTCGAGCGCAGACGAGGCGTGCAGTCAATTGAAGGAGTCAGCCAATGGGGACGCAGCGGAGCGCGCGGAGGTCGACGCAACACCAGCTGCGGCGCCTCATGCTGCTGTTGGCGCTACCTTGGCAACTGTGGCCGATGCGGGAACGGCGCAGGCAGCAAAGGCAGAAAGAAACGCCGTCGCAGCAGCAGCAGCAGCAGCAGCAGCTGCAGCATCATCGGCAGCAGTTACAGCAACAGCTGCGGTGCCAGCGGAGCGGGCGGCGGCATCAGCTGCAGGCGGGGAAGCGTCAGCGGTTGCAGCGCTCTTGCCAGGTACTGCGGCCCCTTCTCCGTGCCCTGCGATCACCGCTGGCTGGCAACAAACGCCCCCAGGCCTTACTGGCTCGCCGCCTCGACAGCCTGCTTCTCTCGATGCTGCGTCTGCTGTGGATGCTGTGACTTCTGTCACTGGTGGCGGTGCTTCAGGTGTCATAACCACGGAACTCGCTGCCGGTTCTGATAGCAAGCCAGCACATACGGTTCTTGCGAGCGAAACAATGGCGACCGCAGCGGCAGGTGATGCTCATGTGGAGCAGTCCCCGCTCACTAGCACCCCTCGTGCTACATCCCTGGAAATGCCACCTCACGTCCCTGCTCACTCTTCCGCCACTTCCCCTGCCGCCACCCCCCCTGTCGGCGCTGCTCCTTCCGCCCTGTCCTGCTCTGCGCCAGGTGAGCGCAGCGGTGGCTGCGCGGATGTGGGGGGATGCGGTGGTGGAGGCGAGGAGGCGAGTGGAGCGGGAAGGGGCAGGATTGGCGAGGTGGCAGACGGCACGGCAGGGACAGCTGTACTCGTGGGGCTGGCAGGTGCTGTGGATAGTGCAGCGGAGAGGAGACGGGGCGACGAGGAGGAGGAGGAGAAGGAGCGAGCGCCGCAAGCAGCAGCGGCAGCGGCAGCGGCAGCAGCAGCAGCAGAAGCATCAGTAGCAATGGTTACGGAGGAGGAGGGGAGTGAGAGCAAGGGGAGGAGGAGCGCGGAAGCAGCGCCTCCCAGTCGCATACCCCGAGCTTCAGGCCTGCCCTGGGCCATCCCATCGCCGCGCCACCGCGGCGAGCGCGAGAGCAGCAGCGCGTGCAGCAACGCGTGCGGGCAGGAGAGCGGTGGTGGCGCGCGCGCAGGAACCGCGCATGGCGGTGATGTGGCGTGTGCGGGGGGGTCCCTGGTGCATGGGGCTGGCAGCACGGAGAGCCAAGCATCTGTAGCCACTCCGTGCAAGCGACAACGGATGCTGGCTCAACGTGTCTCGCCCACGCCGGCAGCACGAGCGGCAGAAGCAGCAGGAGCATCAGTAGGTGCTGCGGGAGCGGGAGCAGGGAGTAAGGTTGGAGCGCAGACGAAGGAAGCAGGTGCTACGGCTGTCGGGACGGTGAAGGGGAAGCGACGCGCGGCTGCCGCTGCTGCTGCGGCGCCTGATGCGGCGGTCGCTGCCGCCGTCGCCCGAGCCAAGCGACGAGCCGAGGCGGCGATTGCGGCTCGCGAGAAAAGCGCGAGTGAGGCCGCCAAGGGCGGCAGCAGGGGCCGCGGCAGAGGCGGCAGCGCGCAGAGCCACGCAGAGAGGCCGAGAGAGAGCAGCGCGTGGGGGAGAAGACGCGGGGAAAAGGCGCCGATTTCGGCGTGGGTGGCGGAGAAGAGGGGGGGCGCGCGCAAGGATAAGGGGTCGCCGTGCCTCTCCAGTGCTGCTTCCACCACCAGCACCGCTACAACCGCCACCACCGCCACAACGGCTACCACGGCAATCACGGGGCGGGCACGGACCATCTCGTCTGCTACCACGTCTGCGTGCTCCTCGTCTTCCTGGTACTCCTCCTCGCCCTCCTCCTCTCCCACCTCCTCCTCCCCTCTCGCCCACCCGCCTCTCCCAGCAGCAGCCGTGCCTGCGCTCTGGCCGTCCCTTCCTGCCCCGTCCGCAGGGACGGCGAGAGCCGCGGGTGCAGGAGCAGGAAGAGGAAGAGCAGGAGGGAAAGCAGGAGCAGGAGGCGCGGCAGGCGCGGGAGGCGCAGGAGGCGCGGCAGGCGCGGGAGGCGCGGGAGGCGCGGGAGGCGCGGGGTGGAAGGCAAGCAACGGGAGGGCGGGGAGTGGTGCGGGGATGGGAGCCGGGGGCTTGCCTCCGCTGCCTGGCTCGCCTGCTCCTTCCTCCACGTCCTCAGGCAGTGTGCCTAGCACGAGCAGGTGGGGTAGGGGCACGGGTGCTGCTGCTGCTGCTGCTGGTGCACGGGACAGTGAAGGAGCAGCGGGCGGATGTGCGCGCGTGGGAGGAGGTTTCAGGATGGCTGGTGTGGGAGCCGGGACAGGGCAGGGCAGAGGGGGTGGCGTGCAAGCGGATGGGAGAGAGAGGCGCGGAGCAGCAATGGCTGCTGGCGGCGCTGCTGCTGCTCCTGCTGCTGGTGCTAGCCGGTGGGGCAATGTTCCTGTTGCTGCACCAGCTGCTATGTGTGAGAAGACGGTTGGGCTGGAGGAGAAGGAGAAGGCACGGACAAACGAGAATGCGCAAACAGGCAGGACGGTAGCAGGCACGACTGGGAGGAAACGGTGGGAGCTGAAAAATTGTGGTGCTGCTGCTGCTGGCGCAAGATCGGGGGCGGTGGTTGGTAGGAGCGGCGAGAGTCGCAGTGGCATGAGTGCGAGCAGCAGCGGGAAGAGCAGCAGGAGCAGTGGCAGCAGTGCGGGCGTGCGGGCGCCTTTGAGTGTGCAGAAGGCCGTGTCGAGGTCTATGATGCAAACAGAGGAGGAGGATGGGATGCAGGAGATTGGGGAGGAGGCAGAGGAAGAGGAGGAAATGAGTGAGGAGGAGGATGATGATGAGTCGAGTGATGGAGAGTATGTGAGCTATGGGGAAGAGGAGGAGGAGGAGGATGAGGAGGAAGAGGAAGATGAGGAGGATGAGGAGGAGGCAGAGGAGGATGGCGAGGTGGAGGAGGAGAGTGAGGAAGCGTCTGGGTTAGTGGAAGGGGATGTGTTTGAGGATTCTGCGGAATCAAGCCTTGATGGTGGCAAACAGACGGGAGGGGAGAGTGAAGAAGTGAGTGCGGAGGGAGAGGGGGAGAGTGAGGAGGAAGAAAGTGAGGAAGAGAGCAGGTTGGCAACAGAAAGCTGTGAAACAGAGCAAGAGACAGAGGAGGAGGAGTTGAGCGAGAGCTGTGGAGTGGAAGAGGAGGGAGGTGAATCGAGCGGGAGTGAGGAGGAAGTTGCAACGGTGGATGCGACAATAGGAGACTCAACACATATTCCAGCAGATTTGGATGAATCAGTTGTGGGAAAAGGAGCAGCGGCAAGTGAGGTGTGCAGAGCGGAGCAGGAGGAGCGGGTGAGGGAGGTGAAGGCGATTATGGATGAGAAGAGGCGGAGCGAGAAGCTTCGCAGCAGGTGGCATAAGTCTGTGGCACGGTCCCTGTGGAAGCATGATATGATGGAGCTTCGGCGCATGGAGCGAGTGGCAGAGGATGGTGATGACGATGTTGTCGTGATTGCTGATGCATGGGTTGGGGCTGCAAGTGGGAATGAGACTGCGGTGAGAAGGAAGGGGCAGGTAGGAGAGGGAGGGATGGGGCAGGTAGGAGAGGGAGGGATGGGGCAGGTGTGCAGGTTGGAAGAGTGGAGCTGCAAGGAGGGAGAGGGCAAGAGTTGGAGGAAAAAGGGTGGGAAGAGGAGGTCTGTGTTTTCAAAGTTGTTTGCGTGCTTTGGGTGTTTCTCACCGCCCTCTGCGGACATCCATCCGAGCTGCAGCTCCTGAGGGGGCTGCTGCACGGCGTTGGACTTGTGAAATTATAGTCCTTTTTAGAATTCTCAGCTTTCTGTAGGTTAGTGAAATTACTGCTGAAGGCAAACATTGTGGTGGGAATTGTTTTTTTTTTATTTTATGCGCTAAAGCGAAAGAAAACGCAGATTGTGGTGGAAGCTGCGCGATAGATGTGGAGAAAACGCAGATCAGTCTATCGCACCAGCATCACAGTTAAACAGAACAGATGGAGTGGCACCGAGTTGTAACTCCAATTGAACCGTTCTAAAAGAGCAGAGCATCGTTCCCAACCTACGACAAAGCACTCCATGTTTCGTTTTAGTGGGCTTACTTCAGGCAGGGGAATGGCTGGCCGGGCATGTACAGCGCCGCGCGAATACCGCGTGTCGTGAATCGTGATGGTGACTCACAGATAGTATAAGGAAATCCAACGACTTATTACTACTTGCGCTACGGTAGCCTCCAAGTGATGGCTGTGAGTTTTTTAGTTCCCCGATGCCGACCCGTTCGGCGTCGTGCATTGCCGTGCCTCGCACCACTCCATGATTCCTCTTTTCGCACTCGCTTGCTCATCGCGTCACCTCGCTTATCTCATAACCTCCATTTTCCTTCGCATCGCGTCCCTCGACTCGACCGTGCACCTTCATGCCATTTCGACGCTTTTCCACCAGTCTCACCCTCGCGGTCCTTTGAACCGTCTTTATGCTCCGTCACACCCACCCTCTCCATCGCCGTCTCGCCGTTTCTCACTCGCTGCTCTCCCCGCACCCTCCCTGCTCTCCCTTCTTGCCTCGTCCCGTGCCACGTCAGCGTCCGCCATCCAAGCATCACGAGTACATGGCGCTGGCGGACGTGGCGCGCGCGGCGGGGAGGAGGGTGAACGTGGTGGGCGTGGTGGTGCTCGCGGACTGCGTGCGAAGCTTCCAAGACAAACGTGCGGCGCACCACCCCCGATGGTTCCTCTTGCTCCTCCCGCTCCGCTTGCTCATAACCTGCTTTGCGCGTCCGAGCTCTCCTCGTCTAGTCAAGTCCTTCCATTCCCACACGTCTTCCTCCGCTGCTCCTAACATTCACTCTCCACCCGCCATCCCCCCCCCGCAATCTTCCCCCTTTGTCCCCACACCCCCGGCCAATCGCAGGCGTGTGCTGCACGCTACTGCTAGCGGACGCCACGTGTAACCGCCCCGGGTACCAAGTCACGGCCATAGCGGGGAGTGCAGACGACCTGCCGTGCGTGGCGGGCGTGGGGGATGTCATCGCCTTGCACCACCTGCTCGTGCGTTCTCCTCTTGCTCCTCTCATTGCTCTCCGCTTCACCCTCTCTTCTCCTCTATAATCTTTTGCTAGATGAATCTTCGCTCCATGCTATTTGACTCCTCATTCGCAGTTACGGCTAGTTTGGCTGGAGTGACAAGTCTCTTCGTGTGTTGGACCTCTGTGTTTCTCTCCTGCACCCCCCCCGCCTCCCATGCTCTCTCTTCCCCTCCCCTTGCCCCTCCGCCCTTCTCCCTCCCCATCTCCTGCGCCCATCAGACCACAGTGGACCAGTCAGGAGGCCCTCAAGGCTTCGCTTACATCAACACCAGCAGCGGTGGCGGCGGCAGTAACAACGGTTGCAGTGGGATGCAGGGCGGTGCGCCAAGCAGCTATGCGCTATTCCCAGGCGCTCTAGGCGCGCCCCTGCGCCCCTACTCCGCTTTCCCCTCCCCCACCACCTTCCTGCCCGCAGGCCCGCTGAAGCAGCGCGTGCAGGCGCTGAGGCAGTGGGCTCATGGCTTCCCCTTCCAACCCCGTGCGTGCCATGGCGTTGTGAGGGGGAAGGGGGTGCGGGGTGGTTTGTGGAGAAGAGAAAGATGGATGGCTGGAAGGGAGGTTGCAGAATGGAGGGTGTAGGAGGGAGGGTGAGAGGGTGGGGCAGTCACAGGGCGAGAGGTGAACACGGGAGGAGGGTGAGAAGGGCTTGGAACGTGGGATGCGAGTGCTATTTTGGAGGAGAGATGTGTCAGAGCGAGTGGGTAACCAGAATGTTAGTGCGTGCTCTGCAAGGGAATAAGCTGCGACCATGGCAGTGGCTTCCCGCCCCCTGACAGCTTCCTTGCCGCTCACCCACCCATGCCATGGCATGTGCATCTCATGTGCATCCATGTGCATCCCATGTGCATCCCATGTGCCAGTCAATCATATGCCGCCCCACCACCACCACATGACGGCATTATCCGGGGGGTGCTGCTGGCAGGTGCACAGGCATGTGCAGTGCCACTGCTGCCCATCAGCGGCATCACTAACGACACGGACTATGACATGTGCGTGCAGGTCAGCGCACTGCACCCCACTGCTCTCCTTGCAATCTCTGCACCCCACTGCTCTCCTTGCAATCTCTGCACCCCACTACCTCCAGTCACTACCTGGACTTTGTTAACTTCCCTTCACCTGAGTCTCACCTGAGTGTGTGTGTGTGTGTGTGTGTGTGTGTCTGTGTGTGTGTGTGTGTGTGTGTGTGTGTCTGTGTCTGTGTGTCTGTGTGTGTGTGTCTGTGTGTGTGTGTGTGTGTGTCTGTGTGTGTGTGTGTTGTGTGTGTGTGAGTGTGTTGTGTGTGTGTGTGCGTGTGTGTCTGTGTGTGTGTGTGTGTGCGTGTGTGTCTGTGTGTGTGTGTGCGTGTGTGTCTGTGTGTGTGTGTGTGTGCGTGTGTGTCTGTGTGTGTGTGTGTGTGTGTGCGTGTGTGTCTGTGTGTGTGTGTGTGTGCGTGTGTGTCTGTGTGTGTGTGTGCGTGTGTGTCTGTGTGTGTGTGTGCGTGTGTGTCTGTGTGTGTGTGTGTGTGTGTGTCTGTGTGTATGTGCGTGTATGCGCGTGTGCATGTGAGCATGGGATCAGGTGTGGCATGTGCAGAAGATGGGTCGGGTGGTGGTTCTGTGGGCATGGGATGGCACCGACACCCCTCTGCCGCCCCTCCTCTTGTCAGTCTCTTGCGTACCCCTCTTTCGCTTCCTTCTCTCTGCGCATACACAGGCACCCAGTGCTCTTTTCGTTTCCACTTTCTTTTCCACTTGCACGCACAACTCAACGATTCCACAAAGAGTCACTCCATGACCTCCCAAGTCTTCAACACTTATCTTTGCAGGCCTGCAGCGCCCATCCCTCCCGTGAAGCAGCAGCAAGGAGGTGGTACTAGTACTTCTCCTGCTTCCCATGTCATGCCCCCACCTAGACCACCACCAGCACAAGAACCAGTGACAGCAAGGCAGCAAGCAGCAGCAGCAGCAGCAACAGCTCACAACAGCAGCAGCGGCACCAGGAACAGCAAGCACCCGGTGTTTTCTATTGGCAGTCGTGTGGGACCAGCACCCTTTGTGCTCCACCGGCTGCCCCCTCTAGGCTCTCTCCTCCCCATTCTCTGCCTCGTCTCCCACCCCGACCACCTCTTACGGCGCATGCTCCCCCCGTCCCTGCCTGCTCAACCCACTCGCCACACGCACAGGGCAGCAGAAGGAGCAGGGCAGCAGGGGAAGGAGGCGGGCGGCGAGGGGAGGGTGGGTGCGGTGGGGGGGGAGCGAGGGGGCGTGGTTCCCTGCTGGGTGCTGCTGCAGAAGGTGCGGGGGGCATGGCAGGAGGAGGAGGGCGAGTGGGTGGGGGTTCTGGGCCCCGAGAGCAAGGTTAGCCCTGTGAAGGAGCACTATGCTGATGTGGCGCACGTTATCAGGTGCGCAGCGGAGGGGGTGTTGGGGGGTGAAGAGGTGGAGAGGGGAGGGAGATGTGCAGTAGAGGATGCTGATGTGGATGGGGGAGGGGAGGGGAAGGGAGGGGAGGGTGTGCACCTCTGGTGCTGTCACCTTTGCAGCAGCAATTTGGTGCCATTGCATGCCGCTCCTGCACTCTCCCTCTCACTTCCTTTCTCTCCTCTGCCTCTCTACCGCATGTGCCATGGCTGGCTTGGTGGTGGGCTGTGCGTGTCCCTCCATGCATTCCCCACGGCAGGAGGTATGCAGAAAGAGAGGCATGTGGGGATGCACTGAAACGCATGGGTGCGCTTGCTCAGTGTGCAAGCACAGCTGCCATCACAAGTGAGTTGCCCTGTATGTGCACCACTCGCTGCTGCTTGCTTCGTAACCCCTTCCCTTCCCCGCCCCTTCCTTCCCTACTCTTTTCTTTCCAGCCTGCAAGGCTCTTGTTTTCTTCCCTAAACTTCTGCCCATCCCACGCACTGTCTACCCGGCCTCTCTCCTCCTACCCTTACCCCTGCACGTCCCAATGTGCAACACCAGGAATTGCGCGGCCACTGCAGCCCTACTCCACTCTCCGCCAGATCTACTGCCAACCTCAAGTGAGCCCGTTGCCGCTGCAGCTGCCGCGGCCACACACACCCATTCCCCCTCCATCCTTCTGCCCCCAGCCCAACCCCTCCTCCCACCTGCTGTTTCATATCCGTTATATGTACATCCATCCACCCATTGAACCGCACACCACCGCCCTCTGGGTCACTCTAGAGTCCATCACGTCTCGCACGACACCATGTGACACCAACTTACCCATAAACCCCAACCATGTATGTACCCTGAAGCTTGAAGCTCATGTATTGCTCTCTGCCGCTGCTGTTGATGCACATGATTATTTCATGTATGTAACGACAAACTCCCTCCCTGCCACGTCTGTCCACTCTTGTTCCATCGTCGCAGGTACCCTACCGCTTCCGCTGTGTCGCCCGGGTCATCTACGCATCTCACATCCACCCCCGCCACTTCACCGCCTTCCTTCCACCCAGACCCCGCCCCGCTTCCCCCACCGCTCCCTCTGCCCCCCGTGCGCCTCCCTTGGGAACACCCTCCCCCATGAATGCCATGAATGGGCGAATGAGGGTTGATGAGAGGCATGCGGGTACAGGTAATGGTGGCAGTGCTGGCAGTGGCGGGGGTGGTGGTGGCGATGGTAGTGAGGGGAACAATGTGCGTGAATTACATGGGGAGACGGGGAGCAAGGGCGTGCAGGTGGATGGAGAGGTGGTTGGGGGTAAGCGGAAGAGGCAGGGATGGGAAAGAAGAGGGGGTGTGGGCAGGGGCAGTGGAAAGGTAAACCAGGGGGAGCAGGACGGCAGGGCAAGTAGGGGGGAGAAGGAGAGGCAGTGGGCAGTGGGGCTGGTGCTGCTGCTGGAGGACTGCACTGGCCGCCTGCTTGTCCGCCTTGCTGCTCACCATGCCGTATGCCCACTCCCCCACCCATGCCATGCGCCCACTCTCCCATGCGTTACTGTTACAGGCACTCACCCATGCCCATGCACTCACCCACTCGCCCTGTTTCCACATACTACCCTGTGCGAGCCTCTGTCTGCCCAGCGCTCACCTCTCCCCATGCTGCCCACCACCCATGTGCCCACCACCCATGTGCCCCATACAGGAGCACTTCTTTGCTGCCTCTGCCAAGGACCTGCGCAACCGCCCTCAAGTGACTGCAAGGGCAGTGCGTGGAATGGCGGCTCTGCTTGCTGCTCCCACCGCCTCCTGCTCCTCTGCACCTGGCCCTGCTCCGCACCTAACAGCACCTGACCATGCGGTTGCACGTGGAGCAGCAACAGCAGCAGGAGCAGGAGTAGGAGCAACAGTAGCAGCTGTAGCTCCCCCTCCTGTCATGCGTTGCAGTCCGGAGACTGGAGAAGGGGCAAAGCAAGGGCAGAGCAGATTGCGCAGCCCCCCTGCCATTGACTGCTGCGTGTTCTCCTATTATCAAACAGGCATGAAAGGCGTGCCGCAGGGAAAGGCTTATCAGATCTTCGAAACTCAGCTTCTTTGCAACCAGCATGACAATGGGTAATGGCTCTGCTCTACAACATATCAGTCGCATTCGCACAAAAGGTGTACAGTAAACCCCTGCAGTCTAGACCACAACAGCTAGTGTATGCAATGTGCTCACTAGCAGAACTAACACCGGAAGTGCACTAGGAATGTGTGTAGTTGGGACTACCAACAACATGAGAAAGGGCTTATACGATATGACCAGTCACTGATTGCTACATGCTTGCGCCAAGCTATGCACACAGCCGAGGAAAGCTGAGCGGAAAGAGGCAGTCAGGGGAGAGGGAGGGGGGACAGGGGGTGTTGGGGTGGGGGTTGGGGGAGGAGTGGGCAGGGCAAAGAGGGGAGGTAGAGGCGGGCACGGGGGAAGCAAGAGAGCAGCAGCGGAGTGGCTGGCTGTATGACGAACTGCTGCTGCACATGACGAGGCGGGCATCATTGCCTGCCACCAGCACGAGCACCACGGGGGCAGCGGTGCGAGTGCATGGGCAGCACAGGGAGCGGGGTCAGAGCAGCACGAGGCCGAGGTGTGCGGGTTGGAACGGCCCGTGCATGCGGTAATTGTAGAGATAATAGTGCAAATGCCCGTCCCCTGGGCCGAACTTGAGCGTCTTGAGGAACTGCGCGTTCTCCATGATGTCGAGCGCGTTGAACACGTCGTAGTCGCGCCGCCGCGCGAGAATCAGCGCGTCGTTCATCAGCTGCAGCAGCGGCGTCGCCGTCGCCACGTTGTAGAACGAGTACGCCGCCTTGAGGTTGCTGTAGTTGTCGTTCCCGATGATCGTCGACGGGAGCGTGTAGAAGGAGACGAGGTCCGTCAGCTCGTGCGTCTTAGGGTCCTCCACCACGAACGAGTCAATTACGTCTTTAATCGGCAGCAGCAGGTGCTCTATCTCGGCTTCGCTCAGCTCCGGGGCGATAACGAACTGCGCGAGGTACGATTTCAGCAGCCGGCACACGGCTGGCACGTCGCGCCGCTCCATGGCGCGCAGCCCGGGCGTCGCGGTTTGCTCCGGGAGTCGGTACAGCTTGATGGTTCGCGACATGGTCATTCGCGGCGCGAGGCGCGAGAACCCCACGTCGATTAACTTCTTCGGGTTTAACGATCGGTGCCAGTACTGCGCGGTGGTCACGGGCGTCGGCAGGACCACCCCTGCGGTGTACACGGCCTGCCAGATCCCTTGCAGGTGCACGCGCCGCGTGACCTCTTTAATCAGCACAGGCGCGAGGCGCTTCGAGCGCAGCTTCTTGTGCACGCAGAGGAAGTTAATCTCCGCCAGGCGGACCAGCTTCTCGCGGAGGCGCACCGTGGCGGGAACCCCCGTGATGAACGCGACGAGCTTGCGCGACTGGCGCGCGCGCACCCCAACATGCCACGACTTGTAAAATCCCGGGGGTTTAAGCGCCCATCGAAGGAACTCCTGCGAGTAGTCGAATCGGAACATGTTATCGTCGTCCTCCACGTAGTTATTCGTCAGCAGCACGTACACCTCGCGCATCTCCGCGTCGCTATCCACGTCGCACGTGCACCACTCGTACGCCGCCGGCAGCGCGTACGGCTCCGCGCGGACCTGCTCCAGCGGAGTCGGCGGCTCGATCGGGCCCTCCTCCGCGATATCCACGCCGGCGACAACGCCGCCACCTCCGCCGCCGCCGTCGCTGCTGCTGCCGGCTCCGCTCTCCCCGGCTTCACTGCCGCCGCCGCCTGCAGCTCCTGCCTGAGCCGGCGCGCCGGCAGTGCCGCCGACGACGGGCTGCGTCTCCCAGAAGAGATGGCGGCGCGGCTGCTGGCCCATGAGCTGCGACATGAGCGCGAGAGGCCCGCTGAGCGGCGCTGGAACCGCGGGCTTAGCAGTAGCGCCTGCCACGGCGACGGCTTTGCCCTTATCCCCCCCTGAACTAGACGCTGGGCCCTTGCCGCTATCCTGCGATCCCGCTACCGTTAACGACGCTAAAGCCTCCTCCGCGGATTTCCCCGATGAACCCGAAGTCGCGTGCAGCTTGTCGGGATCCTCGGGGGAAGCGTTGCTGTTGCTATCCATTGCAAGGAGTCGGTCGATGCGCGAACGCGAGGATCAAGTAACGCGAGATCTAGCGAACACGCAGAGTAATCAACGACTTGGGACGCCTAGAGGCAGTCGCGAGGCTGTGGTAGTGGTCCAAGTCACTGACGGTAATGATGAGACTAGAATCTGGATTCACAAAAACGACCCGAATCTAGGATGCTGGAGTGAGACAGCAGATGCGTTGTGGGAAAGACGCGGATGAAGAGAGAAGGTAGTGTTCTGCGGAGAGGGATGGATGGAGGCGGGGGAAAGGAGATACGGATGTGGTGATTGGCGGGAAACAGCGCATGAATGATCAGCGACGAGGCTGGAATTTCAGGTCATACGCGTCAAAAGCCAAAGATAATTTCTTTAGTGTACTCACAAGTTCCGACACCAATTGGTTCCTACTCACGCTATTTCTACTACACATTTATCATCAACTGGAGAATATAAACAGAGTTTTGTATAGTGATAAATTCTGGCTAGTGTTACAGTTATACTATTATTGCAAATAGAACACACACAAAGAAAACAAAACAAACCACCACCTCCAACCCAACCTCTTTGTCTGGAAGTGTACACGATACAATCACCTACTGATTATTGCGCTCTGCCATGGGTTTTAGAGTGAAGTAACGGCCAGGTGTAGTGTTTCTGTAAGGCAGGAAAAGGGCATAACAGGGATAGATCATAGTATTGGGAGGATGAGATTAGTTGGACAAAAGGTAGTCATTCACAAATGTGCAAAACTGGCAAACACCACTCACATGTTGATGAGCACCCCATTAAGTTCACCCTCCCAATCATACACACCCCCAGCTCTTACCCTGTGACGAACACCACGCCCTCAGACTCGCGCTTTGATGGCTGTGGATACGGCAGCCTCTCCTTGAGCTTCCTCTCCTCCTCCTCCAGCTTCCTGGCTGCCTGCATCGCCTCCTCTTGAGCCTTCATTACCAGTGCCCGCTTTTCCTCCTCCTCCTTCCTCTTCTTCTCCTCTGCTTCCTTTTTAGCCGCCTCTGCTTGCTTCTTCTTCTCCTCCTCCTTCTTACGCCTCTCCTCCTCCTGCTTGCGCCTCTCCTCTGCCTGCTGCTGTCTCAGCTGGGCCAGCCTCAGCGCCTCCTCCTCCTGTCTCCTCTTCTCCATCAGCCTCCTCGCGTCCTGCCTCTTCTTCTCCTCCTCCTCCATGCGCTTCCTCTCCATCTGTCTAGCCTTCCACTCAGCATCAATCCTTGCACGCCTCTCTTCCTCCCGCTTCTTCCTCTCAGCCTCTCTCACCTTCCGCTCCTCCTCCCTCTTCTTCCTCTCCTCTGCATCCCTCTTCTTCTTCTCCTCCTCCTCCTTCTTCCTTGCCTCCTCGCGGACCCTCTTCTCCTCCTCTGCCTTCTTCCTCTCCTCCTCCTGTTTGCGCTTCTCCTCCTCTTCCCGAGCAATCTCCTCTGCACTCTTCTCCTTCACCACCTCTTTCACTGCTGCTACCACACCCGCGCTACTGGCCTTAGCAGCAGCGGCGGGAGCAACAGCAGCAGCAGGAGGAGGAGGAGCTGCACGAGTGGCAGAGGGGGCAGGAGCACTGGTGACAGCAGGGACGGCAGCAGTGACAGCGGCAGCAAGAGCAACAGCAGGTGCAGCAGGTGCGGCAGGAGGAGGCTTGGCAGGTTCCTCCTTGGACTCCGCAACACTCTCCACCTTGACCATGTCAGCCGCACTCGCCACCGCATCCTTCAGTGCGTCTGCTGCAGCGCCGGCGAGCGCCCTCATTCCCTGCATGCCCCCCTCGCTGCCACTCTCTGCCTCTGCAGACGCAGCAGCAGCAGGGGAAGCGTCCTTTCCAGCAGCAGCAGAAGCAGCAGCAGCATCAGCATCAGCAGTTGAGGGGGAAGAAGAGGAGGAGGACGGTGTGACGACCTGAGCAAGGCCCGCCACTGCAGACACGGCAGCAGATGCCGTCACCACGGCGGCAGCAGCGGCAGCAGTAGCAGCAGAGGAGGCTATGGCGGCGGCGCCAGTGGGGGCCTTAGGAGCGGGTGGGGGAGGGGGTGCCGGGGAGAAGAGGCGCCGCGCTGCTGCCAGGGGTCCCTGCTCCTCCGGCTGTGGCACCTCCTCCTCCTCCTGTGGCAGCCTGGGGGACGCACACAGAGGGGCAGGCACATGGGGGATGACACAAGATCACACAGAGGATAGAACAAGGAGACATTACGTAAACCTATGGAGTCATATCGCAACCATTAGAGGAGTGAGATTGCAGCGAGAGAGGAGTGCAGAGGAAAAAGGTTGCCAACGTGCACGCAAACAAGCAGCAAGCAGCAAGCAGCAGCAGACGAAGGGGCTCACAGAGACTGAAGCCATTGGAGAGCAGGAGGCTGCTTCTTCACTGGTCCAGAGGGCAGCTGTCCATCAAACGACTGGATGCCCTGCACCCACGACCCCAGCAGATCAATCCCCCCCTCCTCGCCCTCCTCCGCCTTGCGCCCGCGCTGCTGCCTCCGCCTCTGCGCCGCGTTCCCCGCCACGACCCTGCGCTGTGCGCGCTTGTCAATCACCTTGGTACCACCCCTCTTCACACCCGCCTTGACCCCGCCATTCTTCTGCACACCCATGCGCACGGTCCCCCCACGCTGCGTGCCGCTCTTGGTGCCAGACGCGGAGGAGGACGAGGGGAACGAGGGCAGGGAGATGGATTGCGCGAGCTGCTGCTGAGCCTTGGCTACAGCCTCCTGGGCGCGCGCAACCGGGTCAGAGGCGGGCTGAGCAGGCTCCTCCACTGCAGGGGCGTCCCTGGGCTTGGTGAAGCGCGAGAGGAGATTCTCCGCCTCCTTGAGGCTCAGCTTCACCGTCCCGCTAGCCTTCTCCTGCTCCTTCTCCTTCTCCTTGCCTGCGTCCTTGCTGCTACCTTTCGCTTCCTTGCCGTCACTCTTGGGTGCGCCGTCGCCTGTGAGGGCGGCGGGCATGGCCATGGCTGGCAGCTTGAACTTGGGGCTGGCGGGGGCAGCAGGCGCCTGTGGTACACAGGGCCACGTACACACACACGGAAAGGGACGGATGCACACGGGGACCGGTCACAAGCGTGGGCGGAGAACAACACATCACATCAGGGTGAACCATGCACCAGGAACTACCGCGTGTGTGGCATTTCCGTCAACCCAAGTAGCACGCGCATGTTGCTGCACCCCATGTGGATGGAAACTAGCAGAACTTCCCTGCACTGCACGAGTACCCTGACCTGTCCGCATGAGAGGGCCACATTCTCAACCATCATCTACCCATCTACCTACCCCCCCTCCTCCCCCCCCACCACACTGCGAGATCTCCCTACAAAACTACTCACCTCAGCAGGCGCAGGCTTGGCAGCAGCCTTGGCAGCAGCGGCGGCCTGGGAGAGCGCGGCATCGATGAGCGCGGAGACGGAGGGCTGGGGGGACGCGGACGGCTGCACCACGGCGTCCACCACCTGGCGCTTGAGGCGCGGGGATCCCTCCTTCAGCACGCCTGCTACCACCCTCGCCACCTGCTCTCCACAGAAGGTGTGGGGAGTTGGAAGAGAGATTTATGAGAGGGATGGGAGGTGGGGAGACGCGGACGGCTGCACCACGGTGTCCACCACCTGGCGCTTGAGGCACGGGGAGCCCTCCTTCAGCACGCCCACCACCACCCTCGCCACCTGCTCGTACCACAGGGGCAGGGCACGCGGGGACAGGTGCAGGTGCACGGATGGAGAACAGCAGGCACGGGCGAAAATGCGTGGGGGGAGATGGGCGACTGGCGATGAGAGATGGAAGGTGGGACGCTATGGTTGTGCCTTGTGCACACAACACAACACGTAGAAGCTGTAAGATGGGAGGCATGTGATGGTGCCCTGCCTGCCCCTAACACACGCATGAGCATGTGAGAGTGAGTGAGTGAGAGAATCCAAGGATCGCACACCCTGTCATTGATCTAGACCACGCCGCGCCTAGATATGTGGTAACCGGCACATTTTTAGTCTGTATAAACGGAGAAGTTCAGCCGGCACCTTCAAACTACTGATTCTCATCTGCCTCAACATCCTCCTACCTACCCCAGATGGCTCTTCAAATTCCAAAAAGTCCATATTTTTTTCTGTTTGTGTGTCTTGCCTCAATGGCACCTTCCAATCCTTTCCACAACTACTCCCCTTTATCCCGGACAGACATCCCTCTCATTCTGACTCTTCTATTCCCCATACCCACACCCTCCCCGCTCCCCCTTCACTCTCCCTCTTCCTCCCCGCACCTGTTTCTGCGAGATGGCACCAGACGGCCAGCCTTCTGTGATGGACCCGCGCGCGTTGGGCCCCAGTCGCAGCGCCACGCGGGGGGAAGGCGCGGGGGGGGAGTCCGCGGAGGAGGAGGAGGAGGAGGAGGAGGAGGAGGAGGAGGAGGAGGAGGAGGAGGAGGAGGAGGAGGAGGAAGTAGGGGAGGAGGCGGAGTCAGCAGGCGCGGAGGGGGAAGGGGCGGAGGCTGCTGGGAGGGATTCGACGATGGCAGGCGTGCGGACGACCTAGGGGTTAAAAGGGGAGTGTGGCGGAGGGTCCGGGGAAAGAAGAGGTAAGCGAGTGAGGGAGAGCGTTCACAGGGAAGTGGTGTGCTAATGGAATAACTGCAGGTGCGGTGTAAGAGACAGTAGAGAAGACAAGTGGGGTATGAACGGGAAAGGTTGGAGGGCAGGAGAGCAGATGAGAAGAGAGGGGAGGGAAGAGGAGGGGATGGGAGGGAAGGAGAGGAGGACAGCCATAAGGTAGAGAGAGAAGGTGGGGGGAAGAGGGGGCGTACAGTGAAGTCGAGGGCGGAGTCAGCGAGTGCTTGCTCCGCCTTGGCCTGCCACGACGCCGCTTCAAACAGCCTGGCGGGCAGCACGATGGACGGGCGGGGGTGGGTGGGTGGGCACGCAGAGGATGCGGACCAACAGAGACACGGTTGTTACGGTGGAATGGTGTGATTCGGTTCAGACGGTTACTGAGTGGTGGGGATGCTTTTTGATGCAGGCGCACTGGTGAAGGCTTGACATGAACCAGGAGTCAATTAGGAATCGTGTAGGAATCATGAAGGCTTGGTAAAAATCGTAGGAATGCTCTTTTGGTGCGCCTTTTTTGTTTGTTAAAAGGTAGCAGCGCACAAGGACAAGGACGGGGCAGACCTCGCACGGTAACAGCACCATGCTATCTCACGCCGCGGTGGGTGGAGGGAGGCGAAGGAGTAGACAGGGAAAGTTGTGAAGGGGCAATTGGGTAGCGAGGGGAAAGGGAGGGAGGGTAGCAGGCGAGGTTACTTGGCTAGGGGGTTGTTGATGGGCGGTAGCACGAGGACGAATCGACGTGCCTGCAGCTCCTCCGCTGCGCAGTGATTGAGGGGAGGGGAAGACGTGGGGTAGAGGTGGGGAAGAGGGGCGGACGGACGAGGGCGTGGAAAGTGAGGGGGAGAAGCGGAGAGCTGCACAGGAGGCGAGCGAGTTGACAGAGTGAGAGGTACGTACGAGGGGTGGGGAGGGAGTGAGAGGGGAAAGCAGCAGGTACCAGCGTACCATAAACCAGCCACAACACCGCTCAACTATCCCGCGCTCCCCTCCCCCATCTTCTCCGCCTACCCCCCCTTCCGCCTGCCCACTCCCCGCACTTACCCGCTCTGATGACACTAGTGTCGAGGCTGTCCGCGACGCACACCACGCTCCCCACGCCGCGCATGGCGTCCTCCGCGCCGATCACCCCCGCGCCCAGCGGCCACGCGCCCAGCCCCTCCGCGTACTCCACCGCGGGGAGACTGGCGCCGCCGGGGAGAAACATCTGCGGGGACGGCGGGGAGGGGGGAAACGGTCCGGGGGACGGCGGGGGAAGGGGCGAGATGAGCGGGGGGAGGAGGGAATGATGATGAGCAAGGGGAGGAGGGAATGATGATGAGCACGGGGAGGACGGATAGTAGTAGCATGTGGCGGCGACAGTGGAGACACGTGGCGGCAGTGCGAGAGAGGCGCGGAGTGACGACTGGGAACGTGAAGGTAGGATTAAGTCATATAGCGGAACAAAATATTTAGTTCCTTTTCTTCGTTCCCGTTTATTAGGCGATTTCAGGAGGAAATTCGGAGCAGAGGAATAGAAGAAGTGTAAGTGGTGGAGGGCAAGGTGTGTGACGTACGTCAAGGAGACCCTTGGGCGGCTCGGGTAGCTGATAGCGGCGCGCCAATGTACATGCGTATGCGCGCACACATACACACACAGGCACATGCACATGAGAGCCATGATCAATACACATGCAGTCAGGACACACATGTCAAAGAAGAAGACGGGGGGTGAGACGCGCGCAGCACAACCAATGGCGGCACAAGGCGGGAGGCAATGAGGATGAAAGGAGCGTACGAAGGGAGAGGATTAAAGAGGGCGCAGCACGAAGGGCGTGGAGAAGGGATGGAGAGAAGAAGTAAGACATGGATGGGAGGCAATTAAGCGGAAACGAAATGACACGAAAGGCTGGCGAAAGTGCGGCGGCCCCGCGGCGGCAACTCACGTCAGCGAGCAGCGGTTGGGCGGCGTCCGCCTCGTTGGCCGGCACGCGCACGCGGTACCCCAAGCGGACCAGCTCCCTGACACGGGGGGATCGGCGGAGGAGAGGATGGGGCGATTCGTGTCAACGTGGAGGGGCGTGCAGCGTTCATCAAGCACGCGCGTACATGAGTGCCAGACATGACATGACACTGACTACCGTGCCTTGTTCTTGCATCACGGGGGCCTGAGTCCTCACATCCCTTTTCATTTCTCCCGCCCTCTGTAAATTCTCCTCCTGATTCCTCCCTCCCCCATCCTTGTGCTCGTTCCCACCACCACCTCCACCCCAACGTCCATCCCCTCCCCCATGCCGCCTGTCCCTTATCCCCCCCCAACCATGGCATCGACCACTCACCTCACAGTGGCGGCGCCCACGCTGCTGCCGGCGCCCACCACGAACACCAGTTTGCCGTCCTTCTGCGCGCCGCCATTGCCGCCCAGCGCTAGCCCCAGGCTAGACGTCACATCCGCCAGCAGCTTCTGAGTTCCGCCCTCCCCGTTCCCGTTGCGCGCCCCCTTCCCCTTGTCCTTGCCCTTCCCCCCCAGCACGATCAGCTGCGTGCCTCCGCTTGATTTCCCCGCAGCCCGCACTGCGTACTGCGTGCCCTTGCGCGCGGAGGAGCTGGGGGACCTGTTAAGGAAGGTAGTTCCGCCGCCGGAAGCTGCGCTCCCCGCGCTCTTCCGCCCGGCCACCGTGCGGTTCGGCTTGTACTGCACGGTCTCGCGGCCATACTTCTTCTTCCCCTTGTCCAGGTCTTCCGCCTTCCCCGCATCCTTGCCCGTCGCCGCGCGCTGCAGATCGTCCCACAGGTTCCCCTCGACCTTCACCGGACCAGACGCGGCTGCCGCTCCCCCGTTTCGGCGAGCGCGGAGTGCTGCACCGGGGGTTGTTCCGGAGAGGAAGGGGCTGCGGGAGGTGGAGAGGGGTTGCATGTTGGACGCGCCCAAGGAGGACGATCGGACGACCAGCGACGAGTGCGGCGGCACAGCGTGCGACCGCGCGACCTCGGCGATGCCGAGATTGTAACTGGTTGACGACATTGCTCACGCGGCTGACAAGAAAAAGGCGCAGCTTTCAATTTTCTATGTCGCCAAATTAAATCTTAATGGCGGCGATGCCAGCCGTCTAATGCCGAGGATCGGATTCCCCAAGCCAATTCCAAGCACGGATAACAGGAGAATGGCTTACGGGCCAGCCAAGTCTGCGTGGAACAATGCTGCTGCTGAGTGATGTGAATTCGTTGGAAGCACGGCAAAATCTAGAACGGGCTGACAGCCAGGATCAGGGAACCGAGTCGGGAGGAGTCCGGGGAATGTGGATGAGGTGCGGGGCGAGGGGAGGCGCGGAGTACAGGGGGAGGAATTGAGAAAAAAGGGAGCAGGGGTAACTGCTCTGGGGCGTCCGGGTACGGGAGACTGCCAGGGGCGGGTTGGTCGAGGGGACTGCTCTTGAGCGCAAGGAGGAGGCAGTGGCAGGGAGTGAGCGCGGCGCAGTTGGAAGCAACGCCAGCCGATCGTTGCCAGCTTGACAAGAACAATTGCGACTCGATCGATTGGCAAGAGTCCGCTCGCTCTTTGCTGTTATTGGTTCAAAGATTCTGGGGGATGCTTTGGTTATCTTGGTGGCCGTACCTGGTTGGCTGTCAGGCTGGCCCTCGAACTAGTTGGATTCGTCCCCCCTTTTGAGGCAACGGGGAATTCCACTACGAGATTACTTCTCTACTTTGCAAGTGCTGCAACAAGCCTTAATTTCTAATAAGCTGATCTCCAGCATTCCATCATCACAGGCCAAACATCCTGCTACAAGGTATATTCTTGATATGACAAGTTTCCACCGTTCACCAATAGAACCAAGCACAATCTACACCTTATGTTAAAGGACACCAAGGACCGTAAGGCCAAAAATCATGTTGCTGACCATGAGACCCAAGAATCCAATCATCCAAAATCTGCCAAGTTTGAACAAGCACATCGTGTGAATGGCAAGTGGGTTGTGAAATTGCTATCTCCCAAGACCTAGGAGCAAAACCAAGAGGTGGGAAAAGGGATGTGCAGAAATGAAGGGGACTACAGGAGAGTGAACCAGGGAAGCGAGATGGGGAAAGGGGGAGGAAGGAGGTGCTCTGAGCATATGGGGAGGAAAGACTTACCCTCCATTGTAACGAGCCTCAGGCCTGCCAGTGGAGTAACCAAGGAAGTATCCAATGCGCCCAAGCAGGAAGATAACCCCAAGCACAGTGGATGTCCAAGGATACTGCGATGGGTGAAAGGAAAAGGCGGCGTTAAACGATGCAAGAAGGTCATGAGGGCATGGTGATTTGTAGCAGGGAAGTAAGGAATGGCACTCAACACGTGGTGTGTGAGGGGAGAGTTTAATTTAGACAAGGAAAGCTTACCACAACGCCGCTAATGAGGAGAAACACAAGGAAAGACGGAAGAACCTCAAGGGTGTTCTGATGCGCCCTCTGCGGTGCAAGACAGGGGAGGCATACTAACAAATAAAGAACAACACATCCTCCATTTCCGGGAAATAATCCGTTTTCAGCAGGCGTAGAAATGGTCGAGCGGGTGCAGATTTCGCGATCGCAAAGGTGTCCACGGATATCGCACCTGCACGCAGTTGAACTCCTTGGCGTTCTTGTGAGACTCAGATGCGTACAGAATCGGGTATTGAACGTTGTACCTGTAACGGTACAACACGCGGCAAAAAAAAAGGTTGTGAGCAAGGTGCAGCAGATCCGCAGACAGTGAATACATCACTCATCGCCAGCACCCTTACTTCTTCCTCGCTGACATCACGCCTGCACTCATCCAGAAATTAAGGATTCCTGTTGCCACTGCCACCAGCACCACGGCGCCATGCCCCTGCGACAGCTCTAAGGTGAGGACTGGTGCCATGGTTTCTAAGAGAGAAGCAATGATACGAGATAAAAACCACGAAATCTATGTGAAGGTGAGCCCCAAATTGCTGCTGTGGGGTTGATGTCGTGCCGCACAGCACAAATGACAACCCACGAGAGTGCACGATGACGTCATCGTCTTCTCTGCAGAAGCTTCGATTCGCCACACCCTACGGTCGCATTTCACCAAGAATAATCCGCTACAGCAATAGATTAACACCCATTACATAGTCAAGTACTCACTAAAACTACGAGGGCCCTTGGTAAAGGCCACTACAATAAAGCTCCAAACTCATCAACATATCGCTAATAAGGTTCACTCGCATTCCTGCACTAAAAAACTTGAAGCATGCCTGGCTCCGCACAAGACTGCGTAGCCAAGTTCAAGAGGGTGAAAAGAGGCGAATTGGCATTCTTCTTCTTTCCTGGTCAGAAGCCCGCCCATTTGCATGCTGCAATGTAACAATTGGAGAAGCCATAGAGCACAAAGCATGGGCACAGAGTAAGCTCTCAGCGAAAGAGCATGTCAAAAGAAAGAAACCACTATGCATGTCAAAGGCTGCAACTAGAGTGGAAAGTGCAAGAAAAGTCGGAGCTCACCAATCGGAGAGGGGAGAGACTTCTGGCAGCGGCTTTAATCTGGGAGAGTGGGCTCGAAGGTGGCTGAACAGGCACTGGGGCCCCATCTACATGCAGAGCAAGTTTACCCTGGCTGAAACCGCCACCACTGCCAGTGACCCTGTCGTTGCTGCTACTGCCCACACCACCCCTCATCCCTACAGCATGCGACTGAACACTTCCTGGGGTGTGCCCGTCGCTGCTGCGATAACTGCCACCACTGCCTGCCCACTTGCCACCTGCACCAGATGCACCCACTGAGCTGACTCCACTTCTCATACCCGCCCCTGCAACTGTGGCAGCAGGTGTGACAGAATCAGGGCCCTTGCTGGTGGAAGAGAGCGGCCTGGGCTGGCTGGCAGAGAAGTGAGACGAGTGGGAGGAGGACGGTGGTGCAGCAGAGGAGGAATGGTTGAGGGAAGCAGGAGGGGTGTGGGAGTAGCTTGGAGATGCCAAAGGCAGCAGGGAGGAGCCAGCACGGGGAGAGACAAGGGCGGGGGAAAACTGGTTTGATGATGCTGCGGGCAATGCACTTCCAGCAGCAGCAGTGGCGGCAGCTGGTGCAAAGGGAGAAGCAAGGGAAGGTGCTCCTGGCAGGGCCCTGGGACTGGGCAAGCGGCGGATGAAGGAGGAGGAGAGGGAGACAGTAGAGGCGGAGGAGGGGGAAGGGGGAGCTGGAGGGTACAGAGATCGAGGGCTGGGGCTAGGGTCTCTGGTAGGGAGTTGGTTAGGGGGCGAAGGGAGAGAGCGAGGGGGCACGAGGGTCTGGGGCTGTGAGGAGGATGGGTAAGACTGTGAAGAGGGGTATGGCTGAGGAGAGGGGTGCGAGGCTGTTGGGGTATGGGGTTTAGGTGAGGTGTGCGCAAGAGAAGATGGGGACGGAATTCGAACAGCCATGCGAGCGGGTTTGACACTAACAACTAGAGGCTCTCGCTTGTTCTCATACCCGTTGCCCTGCTGCACCGGCTGCAACTTCACGTCTCTCCTCTTTCCTGTGTGGTCTCTACCATCTCCTCTTATACCCTCCATGTGCCCCTTCCCTATGCCCACCACCTCCAACTCACCACTTTGCTGCTTCTTCAGCGGCTGCCCATGCCCCTCAGCTCTACCATCCCCATCTCTCTCCCTCTCGCCTGAACCACTCACCCGCCTGCCAGCCCCCACACCCACTCCCGAATCCCTTCTCTTCCCTGCTGCCCCTGCTCCAGTTCCCCTCACCCTCTCTCTCTCCCACTGCTCACTTTGTGCTCGTGCCATCTCAGTGGCATTAGACCAAGCACCCTCCTCCTCTCCCTCTCTCTCCTCCCACCCCATCCATTCCCCTGACCTCTGCCTAAATGGACCACCCCTCTTCCCCCCAACCCTGCCTCTCCTCCCTTCTCCGCCCGCGTCATGCTGGGGGGAAACAGGGTGCGCGGGGGAGCGCAGGGCGTGGGGGGAGGCAGGGGGAGACTTGCGGTGGCGAGGGTAGGTACGGTGGGAGACAGGGCTACGGGAACGAGCTTCTGACGGGCTCGTGGGGGGGGCTTTGGTGCTGCTGCCATGGGTGTGCGCGATAGTGTGTGTGTGCTTGCTGCTGCTGCTGCTGGGGCCAGCAGCAGCAGTGGCAGCACTAGCAGCAGGCGGTGCAGGGGGGTCTAGTGAGAGGGAGTTGGCGAGTGCTAGGGCACGAGCACGGGCCTTGGCAATGGCGTGAGGGGAGCGGAGGGCGGAGGTAAAGGGAGGTGTGGAGGGCAAGGGGGGAGGAGAGTTGATTCCGAGCGAAGAGCTGGGAGTGGTGATGGGCGAGGTAGGTATGGTGCAGCTGGTGGCCGCAGCAGCGGGAGGAGAGCTGGCAGGGTGGCGTGGTGGGGAGGAGGGAGATTGGGCATGAGGGAGGAGGGTGAGCGAAGATGGAACTGGCTTCCCTGTGTGTGTACTACTATTGGCGCGGGTGGAGGTGAGTGGCGCTGCTGACGAGCTACCAGGAGCAGCTGGCATGGCAGAGAACGGCGGGGAGAGCATAGGCATGGGCTGGCGGGTGGAGGGAGAAGCGAGAGCAGCTGAGACTCCAGAGGAGGGGTCTGCGGGAAAACTAGAGGGCACGGAGGTGCGAGGAGGTGCGTTCGGTGTGGAGGCACAGAGCAAGGGAGCAGCAGTGGCAGCAGCGACAGTACCCGTGGCATTGGTATCCACGGGTAGGAGGACGGAGCTGGGAATGTGAGCGCTGGTCGCATTGGGGGAGTGTGGCACAGCGCGCTGGCGGGTGGTGCTTGTGGTGGGCGAGTGCGGAGTAGTGTGCTGGTGGGAGGAGCGGGCTTTGCCGCGGGGGGCAGTTGAGAGGGACGCGACAGGAAGGATAGAAGGCGAGGAAGGGGAGGCGAAGGAGTGAGTTCGACTGCGGGGGTGAGAGGGAGTGTGTATGAAGGCCTGAGAGCGAGAGGTGGAGGAGGGGAGCAGGGAGTAGGAGGAAGATGAGGAGCAGGAGGGGGAGGGAGAGGCGGAGGAGGAAGAGGAGGAGGGTGAGCGAGTAGAGGAGGCAACAGAGGCAGAGAGGCGAGAGGTGGAGGGGGAGGGAGAGGAGTGGGCTGTGGAGGAGGAAGAGGCAGATGGGGAGGAATGTGCAGAGGCAGCGGTTTGTGGGGAAGCGGTTAGGCGGGAGCGGGCAGAGGTGACAGAGGGGGGAACAGGGGCAGAGGCCGAGGAGGAGGAGGTGGAGGAGGAGGAGATGGAGGGGGAAGGGACAATGAGGGGAGCAGGGCTATGAGAGCCAAATGGTTGGGACGCAGGTGGAGCTGGGTAATCCAGGGTAGAGGAGTTAACAGGCAGCACATCCCTGTCTCTTGCACCAGCAAGAAAAGAGGCGGCAGCAGCAGCAGATTCAACCGCCTCCTTCTCATGTGTCTCTGCCTCTGCAGCTGAGGCAGCAGTGGGCAGTTGAGGGGGAGAAGAGGGGGCGAGTGGGTGGGGCAGGAAGAAGGGGGACGCATCAGAGGCAGCAGCGAAGGAGTGAGCATGGGAAAGAGCACGATGGGGAGGTGACACCTGCGCCTGGCTGCCCTGACTGGCGTTATTCTCACCCTCGCCCTCACCGTAGCCCTCGCCGTTGTGCTCATGCCCCTGCTCGTTCTCCTGTACACATAGTTGCTCGGCCTTGTCTGGCTCTTGGAAGACGGCAGGCAGGGACGCACTCCGCCTTATCACCTCAATCCCTCCACTCCGCCCACCATGTTTCTCTAACTCCTTCCCCTGCTGCTGCTGCTGCTGCTGCTGCTCCTGCTCCTGCTCCTCCTGCTCCTGCTGCTGCTGCTGCTGCTTCTGGAGCGCTGGTCCAACTCCCTCCTGGCTCGGCTGCGTGACGTCACTCTGCTTCACAGACAAGCCATGCTCCCCTTTGTACCCTGCATGTGACCTGCCCTCTTTCTCACCATCCAAGTTCAGTGCTTCAGATACAGCCGCAGCACCATCAACATCAGTAACAGAATCAGCAGCACCGGCCAAAGGTTCACCACTGTTAGCCGCCGTCACACAGAGCGATCCAGCCACGTCTCTCTCCCTGCGCACTGCCACAGCCACTGGGTTCCCTCCTGCTGCCACCACTGCAGCTGCCAAGGCTGCAGCAGAAACCGCCCCTGCCGTTCCCCCTCCTGCCCCAATTGCTGCAGAGCCCAAGCTGAATCGCCGTGGCCTGCTTGTGAGGCTGCTGCTGCTCGCCCCATCGCCGCCACCACCGTCACCGCCGCCACCGCTGCCAGCAACACTGCAGCTGCTGCTGGCGGTGCTGCCAGAACTAATCCCGGCACCGGTGCTGAAGCTCTCAGCAGCTCCGGATGGCTGCTTGCCATGCTGGTGTCCGCTGGAGAGAGAATCAGAAGGAGCAGAAACAGCAGAATCAGATGGGGCGAACGCAATCGCAGCAGCAGCAGCAGCAGAGGTGCTTGGAGAGGCGGAAGGCGAGAGCAGCACTTGGTGTGGTTGCAGGCCCAGCCACTGCTGCAGCTGCATGCTGTCAGCCGCCAGTCTCTGCACGTCGCCCCTCTGCGCCCTGAGCTTTTGCTGCAGCACTGACAGGTCCTTGAGTGACTTGGACACAGAATGAGACATGGAGCGACCAGATACAGACGAGCAGGACGAGGCGGAGGAGCAGGGGGATGCTGCTGCAGCTCCGCTGGTAACTGGCGCCTGTGGGGTGGGCGAGGACGGGGTGGGTGAGGGGGAGATGGAGTGTGGGGTGTGGGGAGCGAGTGCGTGTGCGTCTTTGGGTGAAGACGAGTGGAGATGAGCCGATCGACCAGCAGATACTGCTGCTGTGCTACCATCTCCCGCGTCCTTCCCATGCACTTCCTCCTGCTCCTGCTCTTCCTCTCGCTGCTCCTCCCCCTGCTGCTGCCTGTGCTCATGCTGCTGAGAAGCGCCTGGCACGTTCGACTCTCTCGCCTTGTCAAGTTGCTGCTGCTGCGTTGCTCCAAGCCCGATCTTCCCCACTGCCTCCCCATCCCCAACTGACGATCCCTGCCCATCGTCCATCCGCTCAGCATCGTCCTCGTCAGAATCCAATGCGGCTTCTTCCTCCCTGCCGACATGCGCGTCCAACGCGCCTTTCTCCACCTCTTCCGACGTCTCACTCCCACCGCCGGAGTGCCAGTCCCCACTCAAAAACAAGCGCGCCTCATGCCGCTCACCCTTTCCCTCCTCCTCCTCCACCTCCTCCCTTCCAGTACCTGCCATCTCCCCTTCTCCAATATCCTCCTGCACCTCCACCTTCCCGTGCTCAACCTCCTCTCCCTGCCCGTGCTGCCGCTCCTCTCTCCTATCGCGGCCATCCTCCCTTGGTGTGGTACGAGGCGACTCATGGGCACCTCCCATATACTCCTCTTCGTCCTCCGCGCCTTCCTCCTCCAGCACTCGCACGAATTGCGTCACATCAAATTCCATCCCGTCTCCCACATCCAACCACCCCAGGGCCGCCCCTTCACCAGCCCTTCCCTCTTGTCCCCCTCCACTCGTTGCCGAACCCCCCTCTTCCTTCCTCACTTCCCTCTCGCGCTCCCCACTCGTTACGCGTTCCTCTGCCTGCCCTGCCTCCTCGTCCCAGTGATCGGTCTCATACGCGCGCCGTAACTCCTCTCTCCCTGCTCCCTCGCTCCATCTCCCGGCCTCATCATAACCCCCGTCCTCCCCTCGCTGAGCTTCATAGCTGCTTCCCCTGATTTTCTCCCCATCTCTCCCCTCTCCCACGTCTTCCCGACGCAACCCCTCGTCCACGTCATCACCACTCCACTGCTCGCGATCTCCTTTCTCCGCCCTACTCTCCTCCAATGGCGCAAGAAGTGAGGCGCGGAGCAGTCGCGCGGCCATCCACGAGGAGGCATCCGGGGGTGACTGGGGCTCCTGATGGAGCAAGGAGTGAGACAAGAGCGAGGTGACGTGCGGCCACAGGGTGAGAGGGAGGACGCAAGCGAGGGAAGAAAGGAAGAAGAAAACGGTACGCAACAAGCAGGTTAACTCTTTAATCGGTGGGGTCCCAGCATGCTATGTGCGCGAGAGAGGGGGTTAAGCGGGGAAGGGGGTGTGTGGGGGATGAGAAGGGGGAAGCCGGAAAAATCAGGTAGTCAGGGAACAGAGGAAAAGCGGGGACTAGCATCGATGCACACAACTGCGCCACTTCGCCTTCACTTGCTCGTCCATAAGATCTATTTCTCGCTTTCGCCTCCGAACCCTCGACGCCACTTGGAACATTCGGTTACCTTACGCACGAACTAACTCGCTATCCACCCTCATGCCCCTCCTTCCCCCTCGCTTTCCCCTCGCTTTCCCGTTCTCTCCCAACGATTCTCTCCGTCCCCCTTCCCACTTCCCGCCACACACACATACCAGCTGCAGCAGGATTTCCGCCGCCCGCGCGGCTTGGGAGTCCGCGCCTTCAATGCCGTCAGCTCCATCGCTCCCCTCGCCTGCAGCTTCTCCCCCTCCTCTCTGCGCGTCATCGCATGCGCGCCAGTCACCCCCTGTTTCCCGCACCTCTCTGGTCCCACAACTATCTTCTCCTTCCGCCAGATCTCCTGCGGGTGAATGCAACAGCCTGCGGGAAGGGCGGAAAGGGGAGCGGAGGGGGCATGACGAGCGCAAGGGAGAGGAAGAGATTGACGACGGTCACGAACTTCGAATATTCGAGGTGAGAATGTGCAGCAAAGGAGGCAACGGAGTTACGGCAAACGGGACGAGCAAATCCAAACACCGCAGGTCTCGGTAGCGAGACTAGGTAAGCGGACGGAGCTTTACCGGAATGGAACGATCCTCGCGCGCAGCCGCTCACAGACTCACAGCGTCCCTCGGGCTTGGACTCACCCACGCGTGATACTCAGCAGATCTCATGCGCACATGTGACCCACGGTCGCCGTACCTGTGAAGCCGCTGCAGGGGGGGCGCGGGAGCGGCGTTCTGGTATGCGGTGACGATGACGAGCGGGCGGTCGGCGGACAGGAGCACCTGTTGCGCCGTCGGCACGTGCGCGCGCCATCGCACGCCTGGAGGAGGAACGCAGGAGGAACGGAACGCAGCAATTGGTCGAGTGAGCGATATACCAGCATGTGACGGCTGTCGTAAGACTTAACGCGACGGGCGATGTAATCGGGCAGAACACTCGGGCAACGCTTTGCATCAAACAGACATGCTCAGCAAACGAATTGTGCTTCCACCAAATCGGATATCCCTCAAATTCATTGCTCTGCATGTCGTATCGGTGTTACCTGGCGTGTACGCAAGTGCGAGCGGGTGGCTGTCCTTAAGAATGCGCTCCTCTATCCGCCCCACCACCGACTCTAATCCCCGCGCCCGAGCTGCCACCTGCTCCCGCCGCGACGCCACCTCCGCTAGGTCCGCCGCGAGACCCTCGAACACACGAGAGGCGTGGCTGCACGGCGCGGAGGGAGAGGCAGAGTCGGCGCAAAAGAGAGGATCAGAGCAACTTTATTGAGACACGGGAACGATAACAGGAGAGCCGGGCAGGGAAGGGGATGTTGTGGGTGGGAGAGACGTAGAGAGAGACAGAGAGAGATAGCAGGGGATTGTGTTGTCGGTGGATCGCATGTTGATAGTTGGTCGACGCGAGGAGAGGAAGGAGGAGGAAGTGCTTACTCTGAAAGGACAGCCAGTTGCTTCACGAGGCCTACGAGGCACGCCATGGACACGCCCTCCAGCATCCCACGCGGGTCATCGCTGCTGGCTGCGCGGAGAACGCTCGGAGATGCCAAGCTCTCCTCCGCCGCCACGTGTCGACGGGCGAGTGGCATGACGAGCGGGCGGCTCTCTCCTCCCGACCGTAGATTTTTTGGGACAATTCAAAATTCGCTTCGTCCGGAGCAGGAGATAATGGTGGAAAAGAGGCAGCGGTAGTCGAAGTGGGAGGCGAAGCTAATCCCGATGGACGGAAAAAACACTCGACGGACCTAAACAAAGCGACTATGGTATCACCAGGCAACGAGCTACGAGCTACAAAACAACTAGAGCTAGAGTACGGGACAGAGAGACAACACAAGACGCAATTCAGGCGGAGCCTTTGCTATTGCTGAGACTGTGCGCGAAGTACGTAGGACGATCGGTATCCTGCAAGAGCTACTCTCATTTTACTTGAATGACTGGAAGATCAGGGTAGAGTAAATGCATGGGAAAGGTGAATAGGAACCACGACTGTCCTGCTATAGCTGGAAAGCAAACATTGTCGGACTCCGCGGGCCATGCAGGCGCGTTGAGAATGCAAGGACAGGATGATTCATACGGCAAGTCCGAATGGAGTGAACAGCGTTGAAGATCCACATGGCCGACACGTCAAGGTCTCATCAGCAATGCCGACACGAGTCGTGTCGATGGTTACCACGGCTCGATGAAAAGTGTTGATTTTACTCTCTCGACGGCGTCGTGAAGGAAAATACTAACTTAAGAGCACAGCGTGGACGGTTGCGGACGACCAGCAAGATGACCTACAGCACAGGGACGTCGGCTGGCCAGCAATCTAATTCGGAAGATGATGTGTGTGGGATGGCGAGTGAGCTGTGATGGTGGCTGCTGGAAGTCCATGGTGTTGCTTGCTCGGACGGAACGGTAGCTCGCTCGCAGGCATGCCAAAGAAGAAGCACGCAGAAACTGATGAAACATAGGCGAGAGTAGGCTCGAGAGGGTGCCAACGATCATGAATCAAAAGGTGGTGGTCGGGCAGGTTTGCCGACAGGTGTGGAATGGCATTTTGGGCAGGCGGGCCCCTGAAGGCTCGCTTGGTTGGACCCAGCGGGGAACAAGCTCCACTTGATCCCTTTCATCCTGCCCGCCTTCCTGCTGACTGCCATTGTGGTCCGTGCTGATGCGGGCCTTGGGCTTTTCGCCACACTACCCGCGGTGTGTGGCATCCCTGTGTCGCATTTTTCGCCAAGGAGTTCACAAGCTTGACTGACAGAATCGCACTCTGTCGCTTGGCGGAAGGCCGAACCGCCTCAGAGGTTCCCGCGTTCATGATGCCACATACTGCTGACTGCTCCTTGTGAAGGAACACCACGGCATCACAGGCCTGAATCCAGAATCCACTGAAACCTCGACTCTTTATACGTGCACATCTGAGTGGTGATTTATGAATTATATTTTTTCTTCGGGTACAAATTAGATTAATCTACAAAGCAAATCGATCTATAAGAAAAACAGTATATTTCCTTGATGGAATACTTGTTACTGCACAGCTCTTACAGTGGATTGAACGAAATTCAACAGCCTGGTGATGTGAACAAATTACATAACTGTACTGTACATGTCAAGCTGAACCATATCTGTCATCCAAAAGTAACTGCATGCCATGAACAATTTCTACGGGGGTGCTGCATGAGTGCGCCCATGCACCTTCACCCTCCAGGAGAAAAGAGCCCAACAGTGAGAATGATCTAGAAGCAACCAGTGTCGCCTTTTGGCACAAGTGCACTCAATCAGTTCGCATGCTCAATGTAGGTACTAGTCGTCCACGGCACGGACGAGGACTCCCAAAAATGACGCCAATTTATGTGAACATTGATCACACGGCTTGGAGTCGGATTCATCTCTGGGCACATCAGCAAAGAAAATACAGAGGAAGGGAGGTTTGGAAGGGATGAGTTCAAGGGTGAAAAGGAGCATCAGTATGAAGGGCATGACCAATCGACTGAAGCTAAAGCACAAGAGTCTGCTAAGCACGAGCCAGCAAATGTGGTGTCTAAAAAAGGCCTTACCCGTCCACCTCGTGGTTGACCTGCTCCACGCGCCCCTCCTGCTGCCCCATAACCGAACTTGGGCTTCTTTTCAGCCGGTTTAAGAATCTGGAAGGAGCACATGAGGCTCTCGTCCACACTCATCATGGCTCCGGCATTGTCAAACTCGCCACAATAGTTGGGTGCGGAAAACACTGTGACGAGCTGGCGCTTGGCAAAAAACTCGTAACCGTCTTCCACAACCTGCAGCACGATCGAGTAGCATGGGTCGAAAATAAATAAAACTTAGATAGCACAGGTGCATTCCCATAGCAACACAAAACACAGAAAATGAAGCTCCGAGATTGGAACCAGCAGGAAAGAGTGCTGAGGACAAGGTGGGAGGATGGCAGTTCAAATCGTCAAACAGACAATGCAGCAACACGAGCAAAGGAACAGAGCGGGCAAGGGGTCGATATACAGAAAGAACTGCAGTCAGGCTGAGAGAGCAGGTCGCACGGCAGGTGTACCTGATGAGCGCGGCAAACTAGGTCCAGGTCGTGCTGGTCAAGGAAGTCAGTGACGGCATCCGCGCCGAACGTGTACGACACACCCCGGTCGTTGTCTCCCCAACCTTGAATGTCCTTGTCAGGGTCAGCCCACAGCAGGTCGCACAGCAGACCGGCGTCTGGTACATCAGTAGGGCGACCGATCTTCTTGATCTGGTCCAGCGACCGCAGGTCGGGCGAGAGGCCGCCGTGCATGCAGAGAATCTTCTCGTCTATCAACGCAGCTACCGGAAGGCAGTTGAAACACTCAGTAAAGGTTTTCCACAGCCGAATGTTGTACCTAATCAACAAGCAATAGCAAAAAACGGTTAACACTGAATCCTACACCACACAGTGCATAAGGGGGAGAAGACGTGTCATGCTAAGGAACGAGAGAAGGATACCCTGTCGGGGAAATGCCTCCCGCCATTAGATACCTGCGCTTGCACTCATCGTAGAAGCCGTAGATGCGGTTTATGGAAGCGCATTCATGGTTTCCTCGGAGCAAAAAGAAATTTTCCGGGTACTTGATCTTGTACGCCAGAAGCAGACAGATAGTCTCGAGGCTTTGCTTGCCTCGATCCACGTAGTCTCCTAAAAACAGATAGTTGGCTTCCGGAGGGAAACCGCCGTATTCAAAGAGGCGCAAGAGGTCCGAATACTGGCCATGAATGTCACCTGAGGAAAGACGGATAGTAAGCGACCAAGAAACTGTGATGAGCTGTAATGTAAGAAAGCAGTCCAGAACTGAACCGAAAGAAATAGGAGGCGGAATGCTCTTGCCGGTACACGAACGTTCTGAAGGGAAAAGACGAAGCAGCATTACGTGGAGCAAAAGGATGGTATTCTAACCGCATATCTTAATTGGAGCTTCTAATTCCAGGAGGTTGGGCTGCTGCAAAAAGACGTCTCTTGCAGTGGTGCAGAGATTGCGAATCTCTGCTTCAGTCAATTGAACGAGTTTTCCTGGCCGTCCATTCCGCACATCCAGCAGCCGCGCGATCAAATCATCTAGAGCCGCTTCGTCCATCAGCAACAGCCACGGCAATGCGGAAACAGATTGAACGAACTAAACGGACACCTCCACTCTACTGTCACTGTGGCTGCTGGACTTCAGAATAAGCTCTGAAGTGATCGGGGCTCACTCAAAGGCCTCGTCATGTTACCGCAGAGAGGCCATTGTCTGAACGGCAGCCAGATGCTGTCGTGGAAGAAAATCTCAATAATGAATTGTGAGCCAAAAGCTGAGTGGAGAAAGAGTGGGATGAGGGGGAAAGAAAACCCTGAATGAAACCCTCTACTCAACGAACTCCTCCTTATTAATTCTCCTTACAATACAGAAGGCTTGTAATCTGTAATGTGCTCATTATAGGAGTTACGACAGCTCTTCACGATCACGCCCTATACGGTATAAGTCTAGAGACAATGAGATTCCAAAAATTTCAGCATAAGGCTAACGATGTCATATAGATTTAATAATGTTCTTAAAGGGCATCCATACTATACAAATATACCGAATATCACTACTCTATTTTCTTATATATCATAAACATGGTTTTGCAAAACGGATATCCATTCCTCCCAACCCAATCAATATCGGTTTCCGTTAAGTTCTCCATGAAACGTGTCCAACAGGAAATCTACGTATCGGTTTGAACATGCACTTGTGCAGGCGCTTCATATTATTTTTTTAAGCAAGAGTCTCAAGTAGACCAAGTATTTTGCACTCGATGAAAAAAAGGGCATGTCTGAATTGCTGGGAATATAAACGCATGACTTAGTGCGTTTCTGTAGTATCGAACCTCACCCGATACTAAAGCACAACAAAAGGGGTATGAAGTCGAAAAGGCGCGTACCACATCAAACCGCAACTGGAGGTTGCGAGCTGTAACCGCCTGGAGGTTACGTAACAGCAAGCGACGCTTCAGTGAACAGTAACCGCCTCGATAGTCGAAGCGTTACGCGTCTCGAGAAACATAACCGCTTCCTGTAATCTATCTTTCCTATATATTCATGTATGCTCTTTGCTTTAATCAATTACTTGTTCTCACATACCAGCACAAGTACATTCACTCAAGTCTTCCGCTGTGCTACTCTAGCACCTACTAGCCTATTCTCTGCAAAGATCCTAAGGCTGAAATTCTCAGCCCAACATGAATCTTTTCGTCAAAGAGCCAACTTCTCTCAAAGTGCTTTGCATTTGCACGGCCAACCCTGAGAAGAAACGAGAATGATTGAACTATGAATGAATTGGGTACAAGTACTAACCATAATTGGGTTGTACCCCTTATGGGCTACCCCACTATAGCCTACACAATAAGCATGAGCTCTAATGTTCTGACACACCCCCATAGGCAAAGTGGGGGAGAACAAGGGGTCACAAGACCAGTCAAGCAAAGCAAGCTCAGGGTGGATCACAAAGTCACCACACATTCCGAGCACAAGTTCAAGGCCACAAGGACAGTTCACATGCAGGAGTACATATACATAAAGAAGACTAGACAAGCAAGAGCAGGTATATATATATGTAACAGTACAAGCAAGGTTAAGAGGTGAGCAAGTGAGGCAAGGTAGGCACAAGGCCCAGTTGAGTACAGAAGCGCTGATGGTCACAAGGTGCAAGCGCCTTGGTGAAGATATCAGCAGTGTTGGCCTCAAAGGCCACGTACGCAAGACGCAGCTGACCACGCTGCTACAGCTCACGAGCAAGAAAGTAGCGGAGAGCAATGTGCTTCGTTCTGTGCTCCAGTCGCTGCTCCCGACACAAGGCCAGCATGGCCTAATTGTCTACGTACAGCACTGGAGGAGAACGAGGCAGCTCTCCGAGGTCAATCAGCACGTAGGTGAGCCAGCGAAGCTCCTGTGCAGCCATGGCTCCTGCGTAGATCTCAGCCTCACAACTGGAGCCGAGAACAGAAGACGAGCGAGTAGCCCGCCAAGAAACAGAGCCGGAACCAAGGCTGAAGGTGTAACCCTGTGACGACCGCTGCGTAGCCTGGTCGTCAGCCCAAGAAGCGTCTGCGTGCCCGGTAAGGACCACTGGACTCTGCCCTCCAAGCACAAGCCCCATGCCCGTCGTACTGCACAAGTAGTGCAACACCCTCTTCGCTGCAGCCATGTGCTCGGGTCTGTGTCTCCCAGGAGCAACATAGCGTGCGAGAATGCTAAGAGGGTATGCAAGGTCAGGTCGTGTGCAGGTCATCAGGTACATGAGACAGCCAACAAGCTCTGGGTACGGGCCACTCGACTCTACGGACTCATCCGAAGGCAGAGCTGAGAGCGAATGGCGAGTAAGCAGAGGAGTGGCCTGAGGCGAGGAGTACGTGAAGCCGAAGCGCTGAAGGACCTGCTGCACCATGTGTGACTGAGTTAGGGTAATGGTGCGGCGTGCTCTGTCCCGAGGGATCTGCAAGCTAAGGTAGCTGCGCAGTTCACCCAGGTCTGTGCACGTGTGTCTCTTCTGCAGCTCGGACTTCACGTGGGCGAGTCCAGCAGTGTCAGCTGTGGCAAAGACCAAGTCGTCGACGTACACGAGGATGTAGAGCGGCGGCAAAGAAGTGTCGGTGCGTAGAAACAGCGACGGGTCGGCAGTAGAGGGAGCAAACCCAAGAGCCGCAAGTGTAGTCCTCAGTGTGTCGTGCCACTCGCGTGGTGCCTGGCGGAGACCGTAGACTGGCCGTCTGAGGCTCCACTGGGTGTCAGGAGGAAAAGACCCAGTGAAACCAGGTGGGCGACGCAGCCAGATGTCCTCGTGCAGGATGCCCTGCAAGAAAGCAGTGCTGAAGTCAAGAGTGTAGCTCGTAGTCACGGTGAGCAGCTATGTGCAGCAGTACCCGAAGAGTGGTCATCTTCGGGGTGGGAGAGAAGGTCTGAAAGTAGTCAACTCCCTGCCGCTGACTGAAGCCACGAGCCATGTAACGCGCCTTGAAGACAGGCGGAGAACCCAGCGGTCGCTTCACCCTGAAAATCCACATACCACTGACGATGTTCGCCCCAGGTGGGGGAACAGCGTCAACGTAGGTGCCTGTGGACTTCCAGGAAGCCAAATCCGCGTCCATAGCTGCCTGCCACTGAGAGGAGTAGGGACCCTCTATCGCCTCCGCGTAAGAGCGCGGAGTCGGGATGTCAAGTGCATCCGGGTCTCCCTCAGGGGTAAGCAGTACGGACACGAGATGAGGTGAAGCAGCGGCCAAGCAGTGGAACTCCTCCTGCCTGTCCTCAACGACGTCTGTGCCAAGGGCACACACACCCCCGACGGACGGAGGACAGACAGACTCAGACTCAGCAACAAGACTGGCGGCATAGACTAGGCGACAGCGAGCAGCAAAGTCGACGAGCTCAGCAACTAGGGCAGACGCAGCAGTGGACTCAAAGGAAGGGTCAGTGACAACAGTAGCAAGGAGACGTGTGACAGTAGGACTGGCAGCACAAAGAGAGTCCGACTCCGGGTCGGCAAGAGCAGGAAGACAAGACTCAGGATGAGAAGGCAAAGGGGCACGCAGAGGAGCAGTGGACGGACGCAGAGACATCCGGTGCGTGCCAGGGACAGGAGGAGGACGCTGACGCGAACCGCGACCACTAGTGCGAGCAGCACGGACAGGCGACGCAGGGCGAGACGCAGGCTCACGACGCTCAGCAAGACCTCCAGTAGGACCAGTGTAGGGAGACGGAGAAGGCAGTGGGGAGGCCGGCTGTAACTGTAACGGCGACGGGACAGGCTGTGGACACTCTAAGGGAGGAGGAGGACCAGTAGAAGACGGGAGACCAAGAACCTGCTGAAGGAGCGGAACGAAGTACGGCCGAGGCCGCGCGGCGACTCCAGACACAGCAGGGCCAGCACCAGTACCCCTAGTGGCAGCACCAGCACCAGTAGGAGCTCCAGCTCCAGTACCCCCAGCAGCACTAGTAGTACCCCCAGCAGGACCGCCTCTAGGACCGACAGTAGTAGCCTCCGCGCCAACACCCGCAGTAGCTCCAGCTCCAGAAGTACTCGCAGGTCCAGCAGCTCCAGTACTCCCAGTACGAGCACCTCCGGGACCCGTGGCACCAGCTCCCTCAGTAGCAACAGAACCTCCAGTACCCGCAGCACCTCCAGCTCCAGCAGTTCGCCTCCAGCGCCGGGCAAACCACTCAGCAGCTCCTGTGGAGAGAGTGGCTCTCGGCGAGAAAAAGCACCCGGAGAACCGCCAGGTACAGCACCAGCAGGCCCAGCTCCCTCAGGCTCCATACCTCCAGGCTCAGCACCTCCAGGCGTAGCACCCCCAGGCTCAGCACCCCCAGGCTCAGCACCCCCAGGCACAGCACCCCCAGGCGTAGCACCTCAAGGCTCATCACCCCCAGACTCAGCACCCCCAGGCTCAGCACCCCCAGTCGTAGTACCCTCAGGCTCAGCACCCCCAGGCGTAGCACCCACACGCTCAGCACCCCCGGACTCAGCACCCCCAGGTTCAGCACTCCTAGCAGCACCAGAGTCAACAGCTACCTCAACAGGCTCGACTGCGTCTACCTGGGACTCACCTGACGGGGCAGGACCTTGAGGGGGGAGGGGGTCTGCCTGGGGGGGACCTCACACAAGGAAGAGCGGTGGCGGGGGGAGGGACGGAGTGCGGTAGGGGAAGAGACGGTAGTAGGGGACCGACTCGTCGAACGTGACGTCTTGGGAGGACAGAACACGGCGAGAGGTGGGGTGGTAGAACTGCCACCCTGGCGCGTCAGGGGGGAAACCAAGGAAGACGCAAGGAGCAGCACGAGGGGACAGCTTGTCCGCATACAAGTCGCGGACAAACGCCCGAGATCCCCAGACACGGAACGCAGACGCATCGCCAACCTTCCCCGTCCACAGCAAAGCTGGGGAGGTCTCCGGCATGGAGAGCCTGGGCTGAAGGTTGATCTGATGCGCCGCGTACCGAACCGCAAACGGCCACAGAAAATGGGGGGCAGCCGCATGCATCATGGACGTACGGGCGACGTCCATGACCATGCCAATGCGGTGCTCAGCAATCCCATTTTGCTGTGGAGAGTCCGGAAGCG